TTAGGAGTATAGTAAAAGAATTTCCAGTCCTCTCTTAGGTTCCATAAATATATCACCTTGTTCTGTTAAAGCATTAGGATGTGATTTTTAAATATGCCCAACAAAATACCATCAGTTGATTTCTCTAGCTAACAAAGAAAATGTTCAAGAATTGGTACTAACCTCTTGGTGATTATGTCTTTAGAATCATACATTCTTTGTAAGAAATCCTGGCCGGGGGCGGTGGCTCACACCTGTAATCCCAGCCCTTTGGGAGGCTGAGGCAGGCAGATCGTGAGGTCAGGAGTTTGAGACCAGCCTGACCAACATGGGGAAACCCTGTCTCTACTAAAAATACAAAAATTAGCCGGGCGTGGTGGTGCATGTACATAATCCCAGCTATTCAGGAGTCTGAGGCAAGAGAATCACTTGAACCCACTAGGCAGAGGTTGCAGTGAGCTGAGATTGTGCCATTGCACTCCAGCCTGGGCAACAGAGCAAGACTCGGTGTCAAAAAAAGAGAAAAATCCTCACATCTTATCCTCAGCTGAACCAGCAGCTCTTCGCTACTCAGCGATTAATTTGCCCTAGGTGAAACAATTCCTATTCCAATTTCACACTGGAATTTTAATTTGTCCTAGGTGAAATGATTCCTATTCTAATTTCAGACTGGAATTCGGTTCATTGTTTACATTGTTTAAAAAGTGGAAGCATGATTTATATCTTTACCTAGTTCCTTAAATAATATTTACTAGCTTAGTATTTAGAACTGGTTACACTTTCAGATAAGATAAAAAAAGATTATTGGATATATGCTATGGTGGACTTTGAGCTGATTTAAACATTGCTACACAGTTCTAGATACTGATATTAGTTGGTTGGCTTCCTACACACAAGCACTCCTCAGTTACTTACAGAATTGAATTAAAACCTTTGTATATGTTGGAGGCTACTGCTTACCCTTATTATCTAAGCCTTCTTGCCTTCTCACCTACAGTCTCCCAACTATAACCATGGTATTTCCACATGGGCTAGATTTTTTTGTTTGTTTTTGTCAAAAGCAGGCAAGCAAGAAGTAGAAGTGAAGAAGAGTTGGATGGTCTTGCCAATTTCCTTGCTTCACTATGAGTCTCCTTAAGCTTTAAATTACAGGCTGTTGGGAAAGCCACAAAAGTAGACAGTGCCAAGGCACTAAGGCTAGAGTATGTGAGAGTATACCATTCATTTATTCAACAAATACTTACTGAGAACCTACTCTGGGGCAGGTACTAACTAGGTACTAACATTACAGTGAATATGGACAACAAAGACCCTGACTTTGTAAGACATTCAGTGAGGAAGGCACATTAAAACAACAAACAGATACATTTATAGTAAGAAAAATAAAACAGGGTCAGGGACAGAAAGTAGCAGAGACTGATATTTTAGACACAGTGGTCAGGGAAGGCTTCTTTAGAGGGGTAATATTTAAGCAGAAATTGAATGAAGTGAGAAAGATAGCTGGCAACTCCAAGCAAAGGAAACAGTGAATGCAAAAGTCCCAGCCTGGTAACGTGCTTAGAGTGCTCAGTAGTGTACAGCAAGGAAGTCACTCTGGCTGGAACTCACTAAGTGGGAGAATCCTACAAAAAGAGGTTGAAGATGTAGTCAGGGGCCATGGCCTTTAGGACTTGTGGAATATGTGGGCTTTGAATTTTATTCTAAACATGAGAGGAGGCTGTTCGGAAGTTTTGAGCAGTGAACTGACATGATCAGGGTACCTTTGGACACCAACAGCTAGGTGGAGAATGAGCTACAACAAAGTGTTATCAGAGTCCAATCATGAAAGAGAAACTATCTAGTTATTTCATGCAGAGGGAATTTTAAGAGTAATAGATGTCAAAAAAGAATGGGATGACATCATAGATTAAAAAGCTGCTATAAACACCCTTAGCTGGAACCCATGGAACTGCACCAGCTTCTGTGCCATTTGGAGACACTATAACTTTCAACCTCTGTCTACTAGAGGTGCCACCTTGACCATGGAAGGAACTGCTAGAGTAAGGAATAATCCCTTCTCCTCTTGCCCTATGGAAATGGCCAGCAACTGCCATACCATTGAATCCAGAAGCAGTAAGTTACTCCCCTCCTCCTGCCTTCTGATTTCCTGGTAGTGGCTCCTACTGGCAGAACTTTATCAGAAGCCACCTGGCATGAAAGCTTTGGCAATGGGGTTCATACACTCTAGGCCGCTGCAGTAGAGCATAAAGGGGCAAGTGTAGAACTAGGAAGTAACAATCTCTAGGGTCAAGAGTAGAAGCAGGGGGCTGGCAAGGTGGCTCACATCTGTAATCCCAGTATTTTGGGAGGCCAAGGGAGGGGGATCGCTTGAACCCCGGAGTTTGAGACCAGCCTGGGTAACATAGCAAGACTCCATCTCTACAAAAAAATACAAAAAATATTTAGTCAGGTATCGGGGCACAGACCTGTAGTCCCAGCTACTTGGGAGGCTGAGGTGGGAGGATCACTTGAGCCTGGGAACTGGAGGCTGCAGTGGGCCATAATCATGGCCACTATACTCCAGCCTCAGTGACAAGAGTGAGACCTTGTCTCAAAAAAAACCAAAGGAGTAGAAGCAGGAAAACCATCAAGATGCTAGCCCTGTTTTTCTCATTTTCCTTAGCTGTGGTAATTTAGCCAATTCAAAGGCTTTGTTCTCCATAATTTCAACTTTCCTTCAGATTTGACCAAGTCAGGTAGAGGTGGTCAAACCCAAAACAACAACAGAAACAAAGACGCAAAAGAAAGGATCGCACAATTTATATTATTGAGCACTCTAATGAGAAGGAGAAATGAAGACCAGCTGGTTGTTAACTTTAGTCACGAAGGAGAGTTTCCAAGACAAAACTCCAATTCAGCTACTTACCTAGGAATAAGGCCCAGGGTCAAGACTGCTCTTTACCATTTTAGAAGGAGGAAAAAAAGCTCAGACTCACCTTCACTGATGAAGCCAGATGATTGATATTCCAGAAAGAAGTTGACTGCTCTCCATTGTCATGGAAGTAGAAAAACTCGCCTTCCTTGTTTGGAGTAAGTAAAACTGCAGAAGAAGAGTGTACAGCAAAATAAACCTTAGATCTCAACCAAACTTTGGGATATCAGGGATTCTCTGGAGTGGAGAACTCCCAGGCCTCAGCAATTGTCTTGTTTGGGCAATAAAGACAGCCCAATTTGGTACCAAGCACTGATAGATTTGTCAAAGGTCAGGGCCACCTCCACTCAGAGTCGCTTCCTTTGGCTGCCACTTTGTAAAACAAAACCAGCTCTCAATCAGTTTGGAAGTTTATTTTGCCAAGGTTAAGGACATGCTTAGTGGGGAGGTCTGTGCCTTTAAAGATGATTTTGAGGGCTTCAATATTTCAAAGGTAAGAGCAGGCTGGAGGGAAAAGAGGGAGAACATAGTCATTACTGAATCCACACATTGCACACATAGGAAAGGAACGGGCAGGGGAATGGTCAATTATGTATTAGGAACATTAGAGAGAGGCAGTTTCTTGCATGACTCAGCTTTCTGCTTGTTTTTTTCCTTTAGGCATAGTGAATTGAGGTACCACGGTTTTTGTTGTTTTGTATATAAGCAGAGAGTTCATTTGGGCCAGGGCCATGAGTTTTTATTTTCCTTTCACAAATATACCATTTGGAGTTCAGAGGACAGGCTGGCATTAGAGCCTTCTGTGAGCACTATCCATGGGATTACATGAGGGAGTGACTGTGGGAAGAGAAGAGGACCCCGGACTAAGCCCTGGTCACCTGAACACCTAACAGGTCAGGAAGAGAAAAATCCAGCAAAGGAAAACCCAGAGAACTCGGCCAGTGAGCTAAAAACAAAAGTGCAGAAGAGTGTAGGGAAATGGAGAAAAAAGCAAGCTTTCTACAAGACAGGACCCATCAGCTGAGCCATCTGCTGCTGAGTAGAGTGATGAGCACTGGGGTCTTCCGCCCGAAAGGCAGTAAGGCAGAGGGGAGAACCTGAGGGCAGCGGGCTCTCTCTTGGGAGCGGAAACTCGGAGGGGTGGGCAGCGGGGCAAATGCAGGGCGGGGGAGCAGCTCAGAGTAAAGGACGTACGAAGATGATGCTTGTGCACGACGGAAATGACCGCTGTCCCGGCTCTGCGGGAGATGAACCCGGGTTTCCCGCCCTCGGGGACCAGCCCTCCAGGGACCTGGGACGGTCAGTGCCGGTCAAGGAGAAGCCGCTCCTCGCTTAAGGAAGCAGTCGGGGACAGGGGAGCGGGCGGGCCCTGCCGCTGTGGGGACTCGGGGGCGGCGGCCGGGGAGGCACTGGGCTCCGGCGCCCACTCCCCACTGACCGGCGGGGTCGGCCGGGACACGCCCAGCGCGTTTGACAGCGCCAGGCCTCCGACTTTGTCCGTCTGGCCACGTTTGAAGAGCCACAAAATGGAGGAGGAAAAGCCCTCAGAGCGTCGCGGTGCGGAGACTGCTCTCCGTCGCTGTCGGTGCGCTTCCGGCCGAGCGCCCACTTCCACCCGCGCGCCCTCCGCCGGCTCCTCCGGGATTCCCCTCCGCTCTTATTGGAGCCGCCTCGGGGCGCTCTCAGCAGGACGGCAAATACCCATCCTCCATCCCTAACCCAGAAGCCTACTGGCCCGTGATTGCACTCCGTTCCCGCACTGTGCGCTCCACACCACAAGCCAGACCGCGGCCGGAGCCCGGGGAGTGAGCGGGGTGGGCGCGGGCGGGGCCGGCGTCCGGCCAGCGGTTGTCACGTGGGCCTCCCGGGCCAATAGGCGCGCGGCTTTGGGACGTGCTCAGTCGGCCCCGCGGCTACTGGGTATGGCAGTCGGACTAGGCGGATGCGGGGGCCGCGGCTGAGCGAGCGAGCCCTAGACTAGTGAGGTACGGCTGCTGGTCGCCGATAGGGACCCCCGGGAGGGAGGCGGAGGGAGGGGAGGCGAGGCCCGCACCTGCATGCATCCCGCCTCTCACGCACCGGCGCCTCGCGACCGTGCCGTTCTCTGCAGGACCCGGCCATGGAGCACGAAGTCCAGCGAGTCCGCCAGGCGTTCCTATCCGGCCGGTCACGACCCTTGCGGTTCCGGCTGCAGCAGCTGGAGGCCCTGCGGAGGATGGTGCAGGAGCGCGAGAAGGACATCCTGGCGGCCATCGGCTCCGATCTGTGCAAGGTACGCACCCGTGCGGCGGGGCGCGGGGAAGCTGGTCCCCGCCGCGCACTTGTGGACCGGAGCTTCTGCTGGGCTTTCTTTTTGCTTTTACGTTTTGGATTACTCCAGCGCTGGGAGTGTGATTTCCAACAATACAGATAAAGCCAAAGTTCCGCCGACTTTCCTGGTCCTCTAGCAGTCGGAAAGGTGTATGTTACCTGGCCTCTGTGGTTTCTTTTCTGCCTTTGCTGTTCTTGTCCATTTTTCTGTTACATTGTGGTTTTTTTTTCCTTATGATTTGTAGAAAGTCTTTGTATATTGTAGATTTCAGTAATTTGTCACTTTACCGCGTTGCAGATACTTTCTTTGGGTTTCTTTTTCTTTCCTTTCTTTCTTTCTTAGCCAGTCAAATTTAGCAGTGGGGAAGTTGTATACCAAATTTAGTGACAGTAATATTAATAAGTTCCGATAACCTGTTCCCATCAGACCAGCCTCTGGGTCTATTTCTTGTCTTTTAGCTTTGCATATGGTTTCTTTTGTAGACAGAGGTTTTGTTTTTAAGTTATAGTTACACTTAAATTTTTCTTCATAACTTTGTGCACTATTAGATCAGTTCTCAAACTTTAATGCACTGGCCGTCACCTGGGATCTTGTTCACATGCAAATTATGGTTCAGTTTCAGGGATTCCAAGTTTCTAACCAGGTCCCCAGTGATATGCATGTTTTGGAAGCATTATGCACTATTGTTTTGATTTTTGTGTGGGGTTTTTGTGTGTTTCTTTGTTTTGCGACAGTCTGGCTCTGTTTTCCAGATCAGAGTGCAGTGGTGCGATCTTGGCTCACTGCAATGTCTGCCTTCCGGGTTTAAGTGATTCTCTTGCCTCAGCCTCCTGAGTAGCTGGGATTACAGGTGTGCACTACCATGCCTGGCTAATATTTGTATTTTTAGTAGAAATGGAGTTTTACCATGTTGACCAGGCTGGTCCCAAACTCCTGGCCTCAAGTGATTCGCCCACCTAGGCCTCCCAAAGTGGTGGGATTACTGGTGTGAGCCACCACCCCTGGCTTGTGGTAGCCAAGTGTTAAGTAGTGTTTTAGGGTGGAAGTATATTCCTCTATGTTTTCTGATATATTGTTACCTTTTTTTTTCTTTAAGTGACAGGGTCTCCCTTTGTTGCCCAGGCTGAAGTGCAGTGACTCAATCATAGCTCACTGCAGCCTGCATCTCCTGGGCTCAAGCAATCCCCCCACCCAGACTCCCAGATACTAGGACTACTGGCATGAGGCTCTCTTGTTTTTACTTTTTATCTGCATTACAGGTGTAGCAAGGCTTTGCTCTGGGTTTGTGATTTTCCCTTCCCGACAATCCCCTCAATCAAAGATTATTTAAAGAAGTAGTAACAATAGTAGTACTACTAGTAACTATAAAATTTCTTTTTAGAGTACTTTTGGTGGATAGGGGCTATGATATTAAGTAAACAAGATGGGGTAAATAAGATTCCAAAAAGTCTGTGTCATTTAATGATTCTTCAAAACTAAATGTTTGTGTGAGTATGTGTATATATGGGATGACTCAAGAAATACAATAAGTTTCCTATTCTTGAGAGGTTTAAACTTTGTTGGGAAACAATGTACACAGGTAAAATGTGAGTAATAGTTATAAAATAGCTTAAGGGTGAACTATTAAGATGCAGGTCAAAAGTGTAATTGCTGTGATATAAGTGTGATCAGAGCAGATTATTACTCAAGGAAATCTTTCTGAAAGAGTTAATATTTAAGCCTGGTTTTTAAAGGGTATGGATCAGTAAAGAAGGATTTACTAATTTACTAAAGGTAGTATTACTGCTGCTAGTGTTACTACTCCCTGAAATAATCTTTGATTTTTAAAAAAATATATTAGGGAGAGAATTAGTAAGCTTTGTCAAGGGCATGAAGGGTGCAAAAGGAATCTGGATGGCAAACCAGCTAGTCTGATAATGCCAGTTGTCACTGCAGGTGTACCTTGCCTGAGTGTTTTGAATTCAGGGCCAAGTATATTATACTCTGCAATATTAACTGTGATTCTCTTACAACAGAGCGAATTCAATGCATACAGTCAGGAAGTCATTGCTGTCCTTGGGGAAATTGATTTTATGCTTGAAAATCTTCCTGAATGGATTACTGCTAAACCAGTTAAGAAGAACCTGCTCACCATGCTGGATGAGGCCTATCTTCAGCCACAGCCTCTAGGAGTTGTGCTGATAATCGGAGCTTGGAACTACCCCTTTGTTCTCACCATTCAGCCACTGATAGGAGCCATTGCTGCAGGTCTGGTGCCAGCTTATGTCTATATACCTTTTTAGGGAGGCTTGTTTTCTCATATTCATTGTAAATTAAGGATAGTGACTAAATACATTTACTTTGGTCGTTTGCCTTTGTTTACACCACCAGTATATTGAGAATTCATACGTATCATACATAGTTCTAAATGGACTGCTAAGGAGATTTGTGTGGCTATTTTTTGAAGCACATGGGGAGTGAACCTGTGAGAGTATAAAGGCATCTGGATCAACAGGCCCCGCAATTTGGAGTCAGGCATCCATATCTAATGTGGTTTCAGTTGCTGGCTCTGGCTTTCGATGAACCATTTGATTCTGTCTGACCTGTTTCTTCATTCAGACAAAGACTATGAGAGTAATGTTAGTTTGGGTATACAGCAAATGCCAGATTAATTTCTCACTTTGCAGGATCCAGATAGAGAGCTGTATGTTGAAATGGCTCGTTTGCCCAATAATTCCAGGGCAGAGAGGAACATCTAAGGGGAAGATGGGAGAAAAGTGATAGAAAGCTGGAGGAGTGGAAAAGGCTGATGGGACCCATTGTCAGTGACCTGAAGATGATGACAGCTAAGGAGTTAAGCCTTTGAAGAGAAAGTGAGATGAGCTCTTATGTTCATTATGAGGATGTGCAGCATTGAGAGCTGCAGAAATAACTGGGAGCACCTAGCCTGTACTTCCCATGAAATACCATTTTGGTAAGTATTAAAGTTAAGTCTTAGATGATACTGTTCTACTTTTTACTTTGTTTAGGAAATGCTGTGATTATCAAGCCTTCTGAACTGAGTGAAAATACAGCCACAATCTTGGCTAAGCTTCTGCCTCAGTATTTAGACCAGGTAAGAATCTCTTGAACCATCTTCAACGTATGTGTTTGTTGTGGGAACACACATTTGATTTTCTTGCTATTGCATGTCATTGCTGGCCAGGGACCAGATTGCAGTTTCCTTAAGCCTTCAACAATTGGCTTAGTAAAAGGAGTTAAGTTCCAAAATAAACTATATGGACTCACCCAGCTGTTAGGGTTACATAATATATGTAGGCCCATGTCTTCATGGGTATGTACTACTGCTATTGACAGATTCTGTTTGATATTTGGATTAATCCTTGTTTGAGCTAACATGATTTCAGGTGTTTTCATTTAATGGATTATTTAACAAGGGACTGGTACTGTGCTGGGTGCTAGCATATTTCTGTTACTAACAATCTCATTTGTTCTAACAATGTAACTTTCTATGATTATGTAAGAGTACCTTTTTTTTTTTTGAGGTGGAATCTTGCTTTGTCACCGAGGCTGTAGTGCTATGGTGCGATCTCAGCTCACTGCAACCTCCATCTCCTGGGTTCAAGCAATTCTTCTGCTTCAGCCTCCCAAGTAGGTGGGATTACAGAGGTGTGCCACCATGCCTGGCTAGTTTTTGTATTTTTGGTAAAGACAGCGTTTTACCATGTTGGCCAGGCTGGTCTCAAGCTCCTGACCTCAGGTGATCCGCCTACCTTGGCCTCCCAAAGTGCTGGCATTATAGGTGTGAGCCACCACGCCCAGCCTATAAGAGTAGTTCTGCTTTCAAAAGACATGTCTGTGGCATGAAAACATGCCACACACACAAAAAAAAGTGCCCTCCTGAACTAGAGGGTGGATCCTCATGCTGACTTAACATGCTGGCATTTAAGAATATCAAGAACTGAATAAAGAAAATGATCTGCTCAATTGCGGGGTAGTTCATCTGTCTGAGTCAGAGGTTCTTACGGCCTCCTAGGGAGGAAGTTATGATGCCACTGTGAAATTGGCACTGCTGAGTTTTACATGCAGTTGCTGCAGGGAGGAGTCTTCATTTAGCTTTCATTGAAAGATAAAACTATCTTACCTGTGTTCTATATATCAATGTGTAATGGCCTTGAGGCCAGTTCTGGTTCTTGGAATGATACAGTTCTCTTTGTTGTCTTATCACTGTTCCAGCAGCCCACAGAATCATTTTGTTCAAATAGCTGTGATGATTCAATCAAGAAATGAAATGGCAGACAGCGAGATGTCAAGGATTGAATAGGACTTAGAACCGGAAGATAGAGGTTGAAGGTCCTGCTTTGCCCCTGACCGGGGGTAAATTCTTTAATAGCTGACTCTGTCCAGATAAGGAGGATAATAATGCCCTACCAGCTGCAGTTAACTTGTTAGGGGATCAATAATATATGCTATGTAAATTAAGCCATAGAAAAGTTTGAGCTTGAAACATTTGTTGGGCAGCTGAACTATGAAGTGAATGAAACTAGCCTTGCAGAGCAGGAGATCAAGTGAGAACATGAGGGCCGCAAGCCAGTTTTTACTTCACACTTAGACCTTAAAATCTTGAATACCTCTCTGTCTTCTTTGCTTGCCATCTGTTCTCTTACTTTTCATGCTGTTATTGTTGCAGTGCATAGATGGGCTCAGTCCACAGAAGCTACATGAATTCTCCCAGTAACAGATGAGGAAATTGAGGCTCAGGGATGTTCAGTAGCTTGCCTGAGGTCACATAAGCTAGTGAGTGACAGAGCCCACATTCAAACCAGATATGCTTCAAAAGCAAGTGCTCTCAGCTACTGTGGTGTATATCCACCATTCATTCAGTGTAGCATGGGCTAAGCCCACTCTGTTGGGCTTAACATTCAGACTAAGACATGCAGCCAGGACTTGTCCTGTGGGAGCCACTCTTCACCAGAGTCACTTATGCACACACCCTCATCTCATGCATTTTCCCTGGTCAAATTCAACCATTTGTTCTTCTTAGTGCCTTCGTTGCTGAGCTCATGTAGAACAACATTGGAGTCTCCAGGTTGGTTCTATGTGGGTTCATGCTTCCCAGATGCCAGTGAACTGTGTGTTCTCCTCTGGTCCTTGGTCAGCTCCCTCTCCCATCCCTCACAGGGACTGGTCTTCACACTCTCCAGGTTTCATTGAATGTTACATGTTTATGTTGAAGAGATTGCTGATGTTGGACATTAGGATTAATTTGGCAGTGCAAGAGTTTGTGTTTCTCTTTCTTTGAGGACCTCTATATTGTTATTAATGGTGGTGTTGAGGAAACCACAGAGCTCCTGAAGCAGCGATTTGACCACATTCTCTATACGGGAAACACTACAGTCGGGAAAATTGTCATGGAAGCTGCTGCCAAGCATCTGACCCCTGTGACTCTTGAACTGGGAGGGAAAAGTCCATGTTATATTGACAAAGACTGTGACCTGGACATTGTTTGCAGGTGAGTCTAGCTCTCTGATTTTCTGAGGTTTTCCCAGCACAGTGGAGACTTTTCCTGACAATGTTACTCTTTGCACTTGAACCCCATACCTTATGGCTCCAAGATATATCATTAAGCTTCGGTGGTTGATGTCCTCGAGATTAACAGGAGTCTTTCACAGTATCTTGACGCCACTGTCAAAAATGGTGAGCTGTAAGTCCTGACATCATGTGGTTGTCCTTAGGAATTTTGAAAAAGTTATTTCTATTCTCAAGATAACAGCTAGATCTGGCAAGAAATTTTAATGTTCTTCTGGCCAGTGATCCATGAAGTATGTATTCCAAAGTATTGTTGTGTGCCTAATAAAATCTTTATTTATTTATTATTGCATTTTAGGTTTTGGGGTACATGTGAAGAACATGCAAGATTGTTGCATAGGTTCATATATGGCAGTGTGATTTGCTGCCTTCCTCCCCATCACCTATATCTGGCATTTCTCCACATGCTATCTCTCCCCAACTCCCACCCCCCGCTGTCCCTCCCCTATTACCCCCGACAGACCCCAGTGTGTGATGCTCCCCTCCTTGTGTCCATGTGTTCTCCCATCTATGAGTGAGAACACACAGTGTTTGATTTTCTGTTCTGTATCAGTTTGCTGAGAATGATACTATCCAGATTCATCCATGTCCCTACAAAGGATGTGAACTCATCGTTTTTTATGGCTGCATAGTATTCCATGGTGTATATGTGCCACATTTTCCCTGTCCAGTCTATCATCTATGGGCATTTGGGTTGGTTCCAGGTCTTTGCTATTGTAAACAGTGATGCAATGAACATTCGTGTGCATGTGTCCTTATAGTAGAACGATTTATAGTCCTTTGGATATATACCCAGTAATGGGATTGCTGGGTCAAATGGAATTTCTATTTCTAAGGCCTTGAGGAATTGCCACACTGTCTTCCACAATGGTTGAACTAATTTACACTCCCACCAACAGTGTAAAGTGTTCCTGTTTCTCCACATCCTCTCCAGCATGTTTTCTCCAGATTTTTTCATGATCGCCATTCTAACTGGCCTGAGATGGTATCTCAAATGTGGTTTTGATTTGCATTTCTCTAATGACCAGTGATGATGAGCATTTTTTCATGTTTGTTGGCCTCATGTATGTCTTCTTTTGTAAAGTGTCTGTTCATATTATTCGCCCACTTTTGAATGGGCTCGTTTGTTTTTTTCTTGTAAATCTGTTTTAATTCTTTCTAAATTCTGGATATCAGCCCTTTGGCAGATGGGTAAACAGCAAAAATTTTTTCCCATTCTGTTGGTTGCCGATTCACTCTGATGACTGTTTCTTTTGCTGTGCAGAAGCTGTGGAGTTTGGTTAGGTTCTATTTGTCTATTTTGGCTTTTGTTGCCAATGCTTTTGGTATTTTGGTCATGAATCCTTGCCTACTCCTATGTCCTGAATGGCTTTGCCTAGATTTTCTTCTAGGGTTTTTATGGTGTTATGCCTTATGTTTAAGCCTTTAATCCATCTGGAGTTAATTTTAGTGTAAGGTGTCAGGAAGGGGTCCAGTTTCTGCTTTCTGCACATGGCTAGCCAGTTTTCCCAACACCATTTATTAAACAGGGAATCCTTTCCCCATTGCTTGTTTTTGTCAGGTTTGTCAAAGATCAGATGGTTGTAGATATGTGGTGTTGCCTCCGAGGCCTCTGTTCTGTTCCATTGGTCTATATCTCTGTTTTGGTGCCAGTAGCATGCTGTTTTGATTACTGTAGCTTTGTAGTATAGTTTGAAGTCAGGTAGAGTGATGCCTCCCGCTGTGTTCTTTTTGCTTAGAATTGACTTGGCTATGCAGGCTCTCTTTTGGCTCCATACGAAGTTTAAGGTGGTTTTTTCCAGTTCTGTGAAGGAGGTCATTGGTAGCCTGATGGGGATAGCGTTGAATCTGTAAGTTACTTTGGGCAGTATGGCCATTTTCACGATATTGATTCTTCCTAACCATGAGCATGGAATGTTTCTCCATCTGTTTGTGTCCTCTCTTATTTCGTTGAGCAGTGGTTTGTAGTTTGCCTTGAAGAGGTCCTTTAAATCCTTTGTCAGTTGTATTCCTAGGTATTTTATTCTTTTTGTAGCAATTGTGATTGGCAGTTTGTTCTTGATTTGGCTCTCTTTAGGTCTGTTATTGTTGTATAGGAATGCTTGTGCTTTTTGCACATTGATTTTGTATCCTGAGACTTTGCTGAAGTTGTTTATCAGTTTCAGGAGATTTTGGGCTGAGACGATGGGGTCTTCTAAATATACCACTGTGTCGTCTGCAAATAGAGACAATTTGACTTCCTCCTTTCCTATTTGAATACCCTTTATTTCTTTTTCCTGCCTGATTGCTCCGGCTAGAACTTCCAATACTATATTAAATAGGAGTGATGAGAGAGGGCATCCTTGTCTAGTGCCAGATTACAAAGGGAATGCTTCCAGTTTTTGCCCATTCAGTATGATATTGGCTGTTGGTCTGTTGTAAATAGCTTTTATTATTTTGAGGTATGTTCCATCAATACCTAGTTTATTGAGGGTTTTTAGCATAAAGGGCTGTTGAATTTTGTCAAAGGCCTTCTCTGCATCAATTGAGATAATCATGTGGTTTTTTTCTTTGGTTCTGTTTCTGTTTATAGACTTGCATATGTTGAACCAGCCTTGCATCCCCACGATGAAGCCTACTTGATCATCGTGGAGCTTTTTGATTTGCTGTTACACTCGGTTTGCCAGTATTTAATTGAAGATTTTTACATCTATGTTCATCATGGATATTGGCCTGAAGTTTTCTTTTCTTGCTGAGTCTCTGCCAGGTTTTGGTATCAGGATGATGTTGGTCTCATAAAATGATTTGGGAAGGATTCCCTCTTTTTGGATTGTTTGGAATAGTTTCAGAAGGAAGGGTACCAGGTCCTCTTTGTATGTCTGATAGAATTCAGCTGTGAACCCATCTGGACCTGGGCTTTTTTTGGTTGGTAAGCTATTAATTGCTGCCTCAACTTCTGCCCTTGTTAGTGGTCTATTCAGGGTTTCGACTTTTTCCTGGTTTAGGCTTGGAAGGGTGCAAGTGTCCAGGAATTTATCCATTTCTTTCAGGTTTACTAGTTTATGTGCATAGAGTTGTTTGTAATAATCTCTGATGATGGTTTGTATTTCTGTGGAATCTGTGATGATATCCCCTTTATCATTTTTTATTGCATCTATTTGATTATTCTCTCTTTTCTTTTATCTGGCTAGTGGTCTGTCTATTTTGTTGATCTTTTAGAAAACCAGCTCCTGGATTTATTGATTTTTTGAAGGTTTTTTTTTGTGTCTTTATCTCCTTCAGTTCTGCTCTGATCTTAGTTATTTCTTGTTTTCTGCTAGGTTTTGAGTTTTTTTGATCCTGCTCCTCTAGCTCTTTCAATTTTGATGATAGGGTGTCGATTTTAGATCTTTCCTTGCTTCTCATGTGGGCATTTATTGCTATAAATTTTCCTGCAGTCACTGCTTTAAATGTGTCCCAGAGATTCTGGTATGTTGTGTCTTCATTCTCGTTGGTTTCAAAGAACATCTTTATTTCTGCCTTCATTTCATTATTTATCCAGTCAACATTCAAGAGCCAGTTGTTCAGTTTCCATGAAGCTGTACGGGTCTGAGTCAGTTTCTGAATTCTGAGTTCTAACTTGGTTGCACTGTGGTCTGAGAGACTGTTTGTTATGATTTCCATTCTTTTGCATTTGCTGAGGAGTGATTTCCTTCCAATTATGTGGTCAATTTTAGAGTAGGTGTGAAGTGGTGCTGAGAAGAATGTATATTCTGTGGATTTGGGGTGGAGGATTCTGTAAATGTCTATTAGGTTTGCTTCATCCAGGCTTGAGTTCAAGTCCTGGATATCCCTGTTAATTTTCTGTCTTGTTGATCTGTCTGTCTAATATTGACAATGGGGTGTTAAAGTCTCCCACTATTATTGTGTGGGAGTCTAGGTCTCTTTGTAAGTCATTAAGAACTTGCTTTATGTATCTGGGTGCCCCTGTATTGGGTGCGTATATGTTTAGGATTGATAGCCCTTCTTGTTGCATTGATCCTTTTACCATTATGTAATGTCCTTCTTTGTCTCTTTTGATCTTTGTTGCTTTAAAGTCTATTTTATCAGAGATGAGAACTGCAACTCCTGCTTTTTTTTTTTTTTGCTTGGTAAATCTTCCTCCGTCCCTTTATTTTGAGCCTTTGTGTATCCTTGCACGTGAGATTGGTTTCCTGGATACAGTACAACGATGGGTTTTGGCTTTTTATCCAATTTGCCAGTCTGTGTCTTTTGATTGGTGCGTTTAGCCCATTTATGTTTAGGGTTAATATTGTTATGTGTGAATTTGATCCTGCCATTTTGATGCTAGCTGGCTGTTTTGCCCATTAGTTGATGCTGTTTCTTCATTGTGTCAGTGCTCTTTACCATTTGGTATGTTTTTGGAGTGGCTAGTACTGGTTGTTCCTTTCTATGTTTAGCGCTTCTTTCAGGAGTTCTTGTAAAGCAGGCCTGGTGGTGATGAAATCTCTGAATACTTGCTTGTTTGTAAAGGATTTTATTTCTCCTTCACTTATGAAGCTTAGTTTGGCTGGATATGAAATTCTAGGTTGAAAGTTCTTTTCTTTAAGGATGTTGAATATTGGCTCCCCCCCGCACTCTTCTGGCTTGTAGGGTTTCTCTGCTGAGAGATCTGCTTTGAGTCTGATGGGCTTCCCTTTGTGGGTAACCCAACCTTTCTCGCGGCCCTTAGCATTTTCTCCTTCATTGCAACCCTGGCAAATCTGATGATTATGGGCCTTGGGGTTGCTCTTCTTGAGGAATATCTTTGTGGTGTTCTCTGTATTTCCTGGACTTGAATATTGGCCTGCCTTGCTAGGTTGGGAAAGCTTTCCTGGATTATATCTGAAGAGTATTTTCCAGGTTGGATTCATTCTGTCCATCACATTCAGGTACACCTCTCAAACGTAGATTAGGTCTTTTCACATAGTCCCATATTTCTTAGAGACTTTGTTCATTCCTTTTTACCCTTTTTTCTCTAATCTTTCCTTCTCGTTTTATTTCATTGAGTTGATCTTAGACCTCTGATACCCTTTCTTCTGCTTGGTCAATTCGGCTATTGAAACTCATGTATGGTTCGCAAAGTTCTCGTATTGTGTTTTTCAGCTCCATCAATTCACTTATATTCCTCTGTAAATTGTTTATTCTTGTTAGCAGTTCATCAAATATTTTTTCAAGGTTTTTAGTTTCTTTGCATTGGGTTAGAACATGTTCTTCTAGCTCAGCGAAGTTTCTGATTACGCACCTTCTGAAGCCTGTTTCTGTCAATTCATCACACTCATTCTCCATCCAGCCTTGTTCCCTTGCTGGTGAGGAATTGTGATCCCTTTTAGGAGGAGAGGCGTTCTGGTTTTGGGTGTTTTCATCCTTTTTGTGCTGGTTTCTTCCCATCTTTGTGGATTTATCCACCTGTCATCTTTGTAGTTGCCGACTTTCAGATTGCGTCTCTGAGTGAACGTCCAGTTTGGTGATGATGAAGCTATTTCTGTCTGTTTCTTAGTTTTCCTTCTAACATTCAGGCCCCTCTGTGTAGGAGTGCTGAGGTCCCCTCCAGGCCCTGCTTGCTTGGGGATCACCAGCAGCTGCAGAACAGTAAGGGTTGCTGCCAGTTTCTTCTGCTATCTTTGTCCCAGAAGGATACCTGCCCGATGTCAGTCTGAGCTCTCCTTTATGAGGTGACTCTTTGGATATACAGGGGTCAGGAAGCTGCTTGAGGAGACAGTCTGTCCTTTATATGAGCTCAAGTGCTGAGCCGTGAGCTCTGTTGTTCATTCAGAGCTGCTGGGCAGGTACATTTAAGTCTGCTGCAGCAGAACTCATAAACCGCCCCCCATTTTTTTTTCCCAGGCGCCCTGTCCCAGGGAGTTAGGGCTTTATTTATAAGTTTCTGTCATGCTGCTGCCTTTTTTCAGGGCTGCCCTCCCCAGCAAGGAGGCAGCCTAGTCACTGCCTGCAGAGGCTTTGCTGAGCTACTGTGGGCTCCACCCAGCTGCCATGTGATCTTCCCTGCAGTCCTGTTTATACGGGTATAGTTAGAACTGCCTCAGCAATGGTGGCCTACCTCTGTAATGGTGGGCTGCCTCGGCAGTGGTGGACTACCTCCGTAGTGGTGGACTGCCTCAGTAATGGTGGATGCCCCTCCCCCACAGAGCTGAACTGTCCTGGGTTCAGCTGTGCTTGCTGTGAAACTCTCAATCCGGAGCATTTCAGATTGCTGTTTTTTTGTGGGTATGGGACCAGCCGAGCCTGATCAGCTGGCTCCCTGCCTCAGACTCCTTTTTGTTCTGTTTTGTTTTGTTTTTTTCAGTTGAACGGGCGACTCTGTCTCCCAGGTGTTCCAGTCGCCTGTTGAAAAGGCACCAGGGTCTGTGTGATTTCCCAGGCAGTAACCCACTGCGCCGGCTGAGATTCATGGCGCTTTTTTCGTCTGAGAATCTCCTGTTTCAGTCCCCTTTTTTATCAACTGAATGGGCAGCTCTGTCTCCCAGGAGCTGCAATCACCAGCTACAACGGCGCCCGGACCCGTGTATTTTGTGCAGAGACCCACCAGGCTGGGGCACTGGCCAAAACAGCTGCACCGGCCAAACCAGCTGCATTGGCAACCTGTGGGGCTCCTCTGCCTGGGAATCTCCTGGTCTGTGGGCAATAAAAATCCATCTGTAAATGCGGCGTCCACTCACCCTCAGCGCTTTCACTGGGAGCTGCAATTCTGAGCTGCTCCTAATCGGCCATCTTGGATCACATCCAATAAAATCTTTAAATTTCCATTTGAGAGGGTATTATGCTGATCTCTTAACTGAGATTCTTTGTTGACAAAACAGGTGTTCCTCATTAACTGCGAATAACATCTTACATCTGAAAATTATAAAATAAAAGGTTTCAGGTTCTCTCTGCTAAATCCGACTTCACTACTAAGAAGTGCCAACTCGTAGAACTGACTTTGTGTTCTGGATGGCATGGCTTTCTCTCCCTTCAGAGGTTCCAGGTCAGGGTTCCAGGTGGGCTTCATAAGTAGAAATCCAGTTGCCAAATCTGAAGCCCCCCAGTTAGTGAATGTTCAGGGCATGGATTTCTGCTCATGCATGGGAAAGATCTTCCCAAGTGGGGCAGGGGTCAACAAAGAGGAGGGTGGCCTTGGAGGCTGGCTGACATCCTGCTTTATACCTGAACATCTCACCAACAGAGCCAAAAGCCACAGCCAGGAGGGTCTGTACCAAACTCCTGTTATCCAGGACTTTCCTTTGGCTGGAGTGGGAGAGGGGAAGGCATGTTGGGAGGTTGCTTCTCCTCTTTTCCTGCAGCAGGCAATGGCTTCACTGTTTACCAAGTACTGTTTACCGTGAGCTGGCATGAGAAATTCCCCGCTACTTAAAATATTCTACCTCATTTGGAAGATACATTCTAAGTTCCAACCAATTGAATTAGAAATAAGATTTTTATTTTTTATACAAATTGCCAGGTAAATATATGAATTTGTTTTAGTTGCAAAATATTCAAACAACACAATATAACAAATGGATGTTTGACTGAATTATTTGGCTGTTCTGGATTTTTTCCCCTCAGACGTATAACCTGGGGAAAATACATGAATTGTGGCCAAACGTGCATTGCCCCCGACTACATTCTCTGTGAAGCATCCCTCCAGAATCAAATTGTGCAGAAGATTAAAGAAACGGTGAAGGTTTGTATTCAACACATCAGATTCCACTGATTTTAATAAGATAAGGAGTCAAATTAACTATTCACAGAGCATCCCCATTAGTTTCTCTCTACAAAAATGTCACAAGCATATATGACTCAATGAACTTACTAGCTAATAAGAAAATGCTATAAGTACCTTTCATGAATATCTGCTAGGAGCAAGGTTGCATTGGTGTTAAATCTACTTAATCTGTCTAGTTGATTTGTTGATAATTAGTTGTGGCATATACTTTTTTTAAAAAAACTTAAATAATTGTGTGTCTGTGATTTAGAGAGAATGTTGCCAACCCTTTAGGTATAATCAGAGAGACCGTTTGGCATATTGGCCATTGCTGATGAAGGTTATCAGTTTTTGTGTATGTAGAGGGCTTGGGGTGGCCAGTAGTTTGGAGGAGTGACTTAATTAAAAACTACTTAGGGTGTACGCTTTATATAGTTATCAATCTCTCAGAGTGTTTAAAATAAATATCTGCAGTGAGGGAACCAAGAAAAGCTTCATGGTAGAGTCCTAAGCCAAGACTTAAAGAAAATGTAGGATTTAGGTTGGTAGAAAGAAATGGGGGCTGGATGCAGTGGCTGGACGCAGTGGTTCATGCCAGTAATCCCAGCATTTTGGAAGGCCTAGGCGGCAGATCACTTGAGATCTGAAGTTCAAGACCAGCCTGGCCAATATGGTGAAACCCTGTCTCTAGTAAAAATACAAAAAAAATTAACCGGAAGCATGAGAATCGCTTGAACCCTGGAGGCAAAGGTTGCAGTGAGCTAGGATCACACCACTGCACTCCAGCAGCCTGGGCGACAGAGCGAGACTCTGTCTTAAAAAACAGGAAGAAAAGAATGGGATGACCAGATGAGTAATGTGACTGAGTTCAGCAGTGGGTGAGGGTCATTAACCTCTCAGATGAAAGAAATTATTGGAGCAGCCACTGTTTACTCAACAGATGTTAATTGAGCACTGAAAGGAAGGATCAAAAACACCAAAGAGTAATGCATGTGATCTGAAAATGAAAATTGTTGGCCGGATACGGTGGCTTATTCCTATAATACTGGCACTTTGGGAGGCCGAGGGAGGTTGATTACTTGAGGTGAGGAGTTCAAGACCAGCCTGGCCAACATGGCAAACCCGGTCTCTACTAAAAGTAAAAAAATTAACCAGGCATGGTAGCACATGCCTATAATTCCAGCTGCTTGGGTGGCTGAGGCATGAGAATTGCTTGAACCTGGGAGGTGGAGGTTGCAGTGAGCCAAGATGATGCTACTGCACTCCAACCTGGGTAATGGAATGAGAGTCTGTCTCAAAAAATTTAAAAAAAAGAAAATAAAAATTGTTGCCAGTTGCAGTGGCTCACTCCTGTAATCCCAGCACTTTGGGAGGCTAACGTGGGAGGATCACTGGAGCCCAGGAGTTCAAAACCAGCCTGGTCAATATAACAAGACCCTGACTCTACCAAAAAAATAAAATGGTTAGCTGGGCATGGTGGCATATGCCGTAGTCCCAGCTACTCAGGAGGCCGAAGCCAGAAGGATCACTTGAGCCCAGTAGTTCAAGGCTGCAGTGAGCCATTATTGCACCACTGTGCTGCAGCCTGGGTGACAGCGCAAGACCCTGTCTCAACAAAAAAAGAAAAAAAAAAGAAAATTGGCTGGGCACAGTGGCTCACTCCTGTAATCCCAGCACTTTGGGAGGCTGAGGCAAGACAGATCGCTTAAGGCCAGGAGTTGAAGACCAGCTGGGCAATACAGCAAAATCCCATCTCTACAAGACGTACAAAAATTAGCTGGGTGTGGTAGTGTGCACCTGTGGACCAGGTCACTTGGGAGGCTGAGGTAGGAGGATTGCTTGAGCCTGCCTGGGAGGCGGAGGCTGCAGTGAGCTAAGATTGTGCCACTGTACTCCACCCTGGGTGACAGACCCTGTCTCAAAAATAAATAAATAAATAAAAGAGAAAATTGTCTACCAGGAAGTTCAGGGAGATAGTTCACTATGTGTTTGAAGCAGAGTAACTTGCGTGATGAGGTACTAGGGTCTTGATATGGGAATTGGACCATCATTTTCAGTGATAAGACTAAAAATGGATCCAGGTGGGAACATGAAGGGAGAGTTGCCCAGATTAAGGGTACGTGGGAAGAAAGAATGGTTAAATATGCTTGTGAGATTGAAAATGCTTGGGAATTGGAGAAATGCTTAGTTGAATGTGGTAATAAATTCAGTTTCAAGGGAATAACGGCCTCTGCCTCCTTTTGAGGCATTTATACTCTAACACAGTGGTTGTCAAGCTACATGTTAGAATCACTAGGGAGCCATTTAAAAACAAGTTTCCAAGACTTACCCTCCAAAGATTCAGCTTTTTGGAGGCCCCCAGGTGATTCTGTGATGTAGTCAGCATTGAAAGCTACTGTTGATAGCTTTTACCACTCTGGAGTCAAAGCCTAGGCACGTGCATTTTAGCGAGCCACACAAGTGATTCCTACCACCCAGATTTGAGAAGTGTTCTTAGTAGAGGTTGGGTGAGCAATGTTCATTTTGATTTGAGATTAAATTGAGAACTCTCGAAAGGCCTTGAAGTGATGCAGTAATTCAGTAATTTCGTGTTTATTTTCAAACTAATTATTGGTTGTATTATTACTGAGGTTCTTTTACCAAAGCTGTACTTTGAGCCTTTGAGTGGTTTCACCATCATGTGTAAGTGGTGGAAATACCAGTTCAAAGAAAATCAAAACAACAGAGTGGAGCAAAGATTGGCAAATGTTTTCTGTAAAGGGCTCAGTGGTCAATATTTTAGGCTTTGCAGATCTTAGTCTCTGCTGCAGCTACCAAACGTAATGCAGTGGGAGAGCAGGCACAGCCAGTGTGTGAACAAATAGTCAACCCTGATGTAAAACAAGACTTCTTTTCTAAGCCTCCTTCTGCTGTTCGCCCCAGGGGGTGAAGGCCCATGGTGGGACTGTAAGAGATCCATAAGGACCCTCGGTACTGTAGACAGTGATAGGTCTCTGGGTGTGTGCATGCTTTATTTTCTAGTCTTTGACCTGCCAAAAAGCTGAAACTTATAACTATTATACTACTGTTCAATTACTTGAGGGGTGGGGTGTTTGATTCTGTGAGGATAGAAAACCAGATTGATTTGAGGACATGGCTGGATTTTGAACTTATTGAAATTGAAATGTGGGTCTTTATGACATTTGTATACTTCTATTGTTTTAAATAGGAATTTTATGGAGAAAATGTAAAAGAGTCTCCTGATTATGAAAGGATCATCAATCATCGTCATTTTAAGAGGATACTAAGTTTGCTTGAAGGACAAAAGATAGCTTTTGGTGGGGAGACAGATGAGGCCACACGCTACATAGGTAATGGAAATTCTCCTTTTCCTAAGGGAAGATAGCAATTTGGCAGTTTTTGCTGACACTGCTTACTAACACTAAATAAACTATTAAATATGCAGCATTTAATTGTTAAAGTACTAAATACTGCTTTCCGTTATACGATAGCTTTTGTTATAAACTATTTAAAATGTCTGTGTTTCTGTGTGTTGAATGATGCCACCAGTGTTGCTCCAGTTGTTCATATTTACACAAAGCTACTTTTTTCTTCCTAACAACCCTGAGAAGCAGAGTAGAACTTGTAATTACCTGCAGTTTGCAGACAGGAAAACAGCACAAAGAAGAAAATAGCTTGGCCACTATTCTACCACAAACCAGTGACAGTACTACTCCAGAAATAATGTTTTGGTCCATCATGCCTGACCTGATTATTTGTGTACCTTCTTTATGCTTTCTCTTCTTTGCCTTGAATATGTATTACTTTGAATGTTAAGCACGTTTTTCTAGAGTAAAATGTAAGGTGACAGAAAAGTTAGACACATTTGGACTTGGCTGGCAAAGAAGCTGTCCCACATAGCTTTACTTATCCCCTTTATTAGAAAAGATGCTACAAGTTGCCCCCTCCCAAAAAAACCTTAACATATTGAAATAAGAAGCAGAAATTGATTATTTTATAATTAGCAGTCCCAAGGTTCTCCTGAGCTGGATAATTCTGTGGCTCGGTGGTACCATCAAAAAGCCCTGATTTTTTGTACTAGGGTGTAAAAGAAAACAATCCCTGTACCTTCTATCTCTCTTGGTGGTGGCCCAGATTGAATTGGGGAATACATCTGTAGAAAAAAGAGAAAACAGACTCTAATTGTTTCACCTCTCTGTTCTCCCATCCTCAGTATGTCCACATTGCCCATTTCTAGGCTAAGAATGGCAAGGAGAAGGGACTATCCTGAGTAGCTCATAGACTAAGGACTTCCCCCTGACTTTGAGCTAGGATCATCTTACCTGAGCACAGCTATGCAGAGGAAGTAGACAACCAGCCCAAATTGGTTCTCTAACTTGAGGAAGATGTGGGCAATGGATTTGGGGTGGCAGCTTATATAGCCCTAGAAGTGGTACTGCAGGAAGCCATCCCCAGCCATGTTGCCAAGATGCCCTAGTAGAAACTAGGGGTAAAGGAAAAGTGCCAACTTGGTAGATGACTTCTCTTTTGGTTGACGATCCAGTTTATTATTTATAGCATCTTTTGGAGTACTGCCAGTTGGTGACTTATGTTGGCAGCAGATGCTGGGACACTCTGCATAGCCTCCTCAGCATCTGTTTCACCCACCTTTCTTGTGCCTCTTCCCCATGGTAGATGGAACACTGAACTAAGGCTTAGGGAAATTTGACCATTTAAACCTGTTTTCTTAATCTGTCTAACAGAGTTGTAATAAAGATTAATGAGATAATATATATGAAAGCACTTGAGTTAAAAAATAGTATTGATTTGATTCACAGAGGAGCTGTCTTTGCTCCTAGAAAAAGCTGTCCACAGAAAAATGTTAAGTATAATCTGCAGTTAAATACATGCATGGCTGTGAACAGGGTTAAATATGAAAAAGATATATTTGATTGTATATCGTTCCCTTGGTTTGCACAGGTACCCACAGGGTTGTGATTCACAGGCTTTGGAGACATTGAGTATTTGCACAGTTGATCCACATGCTCAGGACTTTTCAATAGATATGACTTGGGTAGGAGAGGGAAAGGGATCGATAGGTGACTCAATGAAAGAACTGTAAGATGAGAGTTGTGCATTTTTGTCTAAGCATTTTCATTTTGTTTATTTTCTTTTAAGCCCCAACAGTACTTACTGATGTTGATCCTAAAACCAAAGTGATGCAAGAAGAAATTTTTGGACCAGTTCTTCCAATAGTGCCTGTGAAAAATGTAGATGAGGCCATAAATTTCATAAATGAACGTGAAAAGCCTCTGGCTCTCTACGTATTTTCACATAACCATAAGGTAAGCTTTAGAGAGAACAGCTCACTATCGTAAGTGACTGTCAAGAGTCATGTTCCTTCTTTGCTGTAAACTGTGCAAAAAAACAATGTAAAACAATGAGGTGTTTTTTTGTATAGTATCAGAGTCCACTAAGTGAGGTTGCATTCCAAGGCTGCTGTCTTGGATAATAGGCTCTGGGGTTATCACAGTCTCCATTCCCTTCCTCCCTGGGGTTATATCTGAGTCTGCAGGGGTGAGTGTCGCAGGGTTTATGATTCACAAACATCTCCTGTATAATTTGAAGACTTAATATGTGCCAGCATTAAACGCTTTTCTGATGTTAATCCACAGGGCATTGCTGAATGCAAAGACAGCTCCTCTGTGAATCACATCAATGCTGTTTTTTCTTAACTTGAGTGCTCTTGCCTGCCCTGTGACCAAAATGGCATTCACTGCCACTCAGAGGGGGTTGTGTGGGACAGAGACCCTTGACATTGTCACATAAGTGGCTGTGATGTCACGGATTTTAGTTTCTCACATTACATTAGCTTCTTGTAGAGTGGTGGAACTGCATCACCTGGTTGAGCAGTTCTGCCACTGTCTGCCTGGCTCACTCATTCATGTCACTAGGGGACCAGCTGCTACTAAGACAGTGGCTTCAAGGAGGGCAAGTAGGTTCAGAAGCCCTCTGAAGAAGCGGGAAAACTAGAAGGGAGAAGAGACTGGTCAAGATCTGAGGAGTTCATAAGCCAAATGTTTTCTGGAGAGCTTCTGATGGTAATGTACAGATAGTCATGTGACACCTTTTAGAGCTTGTGATGCTATTAAGATACAGATAGCTACAGGCATTTGAAGTGAGACCCAATGTGTGGGGCTCAGTAAAGACTTGGTTATTACAAAACAATGGTTTGACATTGAAAACCATGAATAATGTGGGCAGGAAGGAACCCTGAAGCCGAAGGTCGGCTGGCCAAGGCACAAGTCAGGTGTGGAGCACTTCCCAGCAGTGGGTCACCTGAGGTCACTACTGTCCAGACTTGACATTTGCCATGAAGAACTCTCAAGGGCTTGCTGGCACCCAAGTGAAATGGCATTTACTAGTCAAGTGTTCTTGTGCTTTTCTGGGTCTTAGGCCAACCAACCATTTAATTCTTAAATAGGATGTTAAATCTATAGTCTTAAATATTTTTTTGCATTTTACAAAGACTAAATAATAACCCTTAATCATATGTTACAATTTAGAGTGAGAAAAGAAAGAAACAATAACAGTTTTTAAAGCTGGAATATAGTTTAAACTGTCCCCTTATAAAGAGCCTTTTGCTGCTGTGCTGGGGAGTACAACTCTCGGTGGTGGGTGAGTAGGCCCAGAGTTTTGGAGCTGCCTCCCTTTTTGCACTAGATGTGTGTCCGAGAAGTTGGGTATCAGTCGCTTTGCTAAATTAACCACAGTTTAGATTGTTTGTCTATCTGTGGTGTCCCCAGACTCAAGAATTTTCACTGACACAAAGCCAGAATGTGCATGCTTTGAACACATAACTGAGCACACAGCCCTCTGTGTGGCGGGGCCTGAGTGTTCCCTGAGAGGCAGCTTCACTGACCTGGATGCCTTTGGTCTGTCCTCAGCTCATCAAACGGATGATTGATGAGACATCCAGTGGAGGTGTCACAGGCAATGATGTCATCATGCACTTCATGCTCAACTCTTTCCCCTTTGGAGGAGTGGGTGAGTCTTACTTTCTCCTGCTCATAGTAGATATTTCGAAAGCACCACCATTTCACAAGTGGATTGTTTGGGCTGTTGAAATAGCCAGCTGCTGCATACCCTGATTGTCGTCTCCTGAGGGAGGCCTTCCCTGGTTACCCAGTTGACTGTGGTTTTCCCGCTTTCCCACCCGCCCCTCCAGCACAGGGCGAATGTCCCGTCACTCTCCCTTTGTCAGCAGCACTGACTGACCACAGTTGTAATCATTGCTTTGTTCACTTCATTGATTTTGTTTATTGTCCTGCCATATTTAGGAGATTTGGGAACCAAGACAGGTCTCAAATTAATTAACAAGATCTTGTTCTCTCTCTCTTTTTTTTTTTTTTAATGAGGTAGCAAATAAAAGGTTCAGAATGCCAGGGGACAGACCGCAGTTTCAGGAGTTTTTAAATGTGCCTTTGGTTTCTGCTCAGTTCTTACCTGCATTGTTGGGAAGAGCAGCCTCTCCTTTAATTGTTTTGTGATTTGAGTAGAACTAGACACCCCCTGTTCTAGAGAGGGTGGGCAGGAAAAAATTCATTCTAAGTGAAGCTTTGTGGCCATAGCCTGATCCTTACTGTTCCCTTTAGAACATGACTTGCCTCCCTCTCTGACATGTGATATGACTGACTCAGCTTTTTCTCCTTTGGGACGTAGGCTAGGTGGGCTTCTCTACTATCTAATAGAGATATTACAAAATAGCCAAGATGAAAACATTCTCATAACAAAAAGCAAACCATAAAAGCCACTGTCTTGAAGCCCTGTTCTATCATCTCCCTTTGTAATACCATAAATCATTTGCTCCATGGGATGGAATGGCCCAGTTTGGCAGGACTGCCTGTTCCTGGTTAAGGAAATCTTGTTCTATGTCCAAGGAGCCTTGACCTATAGCTACAGGTCATTGTCTAGGAAGTAAACATGGCCAGCAACCCGCACAGTTACTGTGCACATACATGGGTGAAGGACAGGCAGGAAGAGGCCAAATCAGTAGGTCTTGGCAGATCCAAATTGGAAATAGTGGTGGCTTGGAGACGGCGGTAACGGGAGATAGTGGAAAGGGAAGTGGGAATTTTTTGAATCAAGCAGCAGGATTTGCTGATGGAGTGAATGTTGGAGGAGGGGGTGAATGAAAGAGGATGACTCCTGGGATTTTGGCTGGAGTAACTAATAGTTTTGTAGCCCAAATGCTTAAAAGATTGGACTCCATTGTCTCTAGTTCCTCAGCTCACCGCATAGATCCTGGCATCCACTGTGCTACTGCAGCAGTCCACTCTGTAATTGTTCTATATGGTGTCTCCAGTGCCCTCTAATTACAAATCTAAGTGACTTGGGTTCAGTCCCTGTCCTGCTTGACAAGGTAGCCTGTGGCATCATTGACTATACCATCTTATTTAAAACAAAACAAGGCTGGGTGCCATGGCTCATGCTTGTAATCCCAGGACTTTGGGAGGCTGAGGTGGGCAGATCACTTGAGGTCAGGAGTTCAAGACCAGCCTGACCAACATGGTGAAACCCCGTCTCTACTAAAAATTAAAAAATTAGCCAGGTGTGGTGAGTGCCTGTAGTCCCACCTACTAGAGAGGCTGAGGCAGGAGAATCACTTGAACCTGGGAGACAGAGGTTGCAGTGGGCCGAGATCGCACCACTGCACTGTAGCCTGGGCAGCAGAGCAAGACTTCATCTCAAAAATAAAAATAAAACAAACAACATATTATATACTTATAAAAATCAAAAATACAAAAAGAAGACCAAAAAAAAACAGGTCTACTGTCTTAGCAAATTTCAGGCATATAATACGTTAATTATAATAGTGGCCATGCTGTAAAAAAAAGTAAATAAATAAATTAAAAAAACAAGCCTTGACCCCCAAATGTAAAAGGAATACAGGTTTTATTAAGAAAACTTGGAAAAGATAGAAGATCCCAAAGAATAAACATTTACGTTATTCATAACCCCACTATATAAAGATAACTGGTATATGTCTTGCACATACATGCACACACATATACACAAACACTTGAATATTCTATTCAAAAAGGTATCATTATATATTCTGTACCCTGTATGTGACAGGATAGTGTGACAATTTCCCATGTCAATATTCTTGCATGTCATAATTTTAGTAACTGCATACTCTTCCATCATACTAATGTGGCATATTTATGTAACCAATTCCTAGTTTCAGATTTCAGTTTTTCTGGCGTGATTCTTATGTAATGTATCTTTATGCAATCTGATTATTTCTTTAGGAAAAATGTCTAGAAGTGTAATTACTGTGTTAAAAGGGCTTATACAGTTTTCCAAATTGAAAAACATGGTTTTTTCTTCTAATTCTCAAAGTAACATAGACACAGGGGCAGAAAGTCTAAACAGTTAAACTTTAAAGAAAAATGTAATAACCTCCCAGGCGTAAACACTATTAATATTTTGGCATATAGTTTAGATTTTTCTTTCTTTTTTTGAGACCAAGTCTCACCATGTTGCCCAGGCTGAAGTGCAATGGTGCAATCTCAGCTCATTGCAACCTCCAACTCTCGGGTTCAAACAATTACCCTGACTAAGGATCCCAAGTAGCTGGAATTACAGGTGCCTGCCACCATGCCCAGCTAATTTTTGTATTTTTTGTAAAGACAGGGTTTTGGCATGTTAGCCAGGGTGGTCTCAAACTCCTGGGCTCAAGAGATCCACTTGCCTTGGCCTTCCAAAGTGCTAGAATTACAGGCTGAGCCATCACGCCTGGCCTAGGTTATTCTTTAGAAATGCATTATCTTTAAAGCTTTTGATACATATTTCAAGTGTCTTTGCAGATTTCTGCCACCTCATATTCCTGCCAACAGTATGTGAGCGTTTACTTCCTTATACCCTACTTCTGGATTATTCCATTACTAAATTTTTAGACAGAAAGAAAAGGGTCTTACTTTAATTTGTAGTCCTTTGATTATTAGTGAGTTTGAATTTATTTTTAGTACCCTCGTGAATTTTCTGTTTATACCCTTTGATATTTTTGCTGTTTTCACTTCTTCCTTATTGGTATATAAATAGTCTTTTTTTTATAAGTAAGAAAATCCTCAGTCCTATCTGTAACACATATCCCTTTCCAGATTTTAATTTTATCTATGCTTTGAAACATTTATTATATTTTATTTATTTTCTGAGACACAGTCTCGCCCTTGTCACCCAGGCTGGAATGCAGTGGCACTATCTCAGCTCACTGCAACCCTCACCTCCTGCCTCAGCCTACTGAGTAGCTGGGATTGTAGGCACTCGCCACCACACCCACCTAATTTTTGTATTTTTAGTAGAGTTGGGGTTTCACCATGTTGGCCGAGCTGGTCTTCAACTCCTGATCTCAGGTGATCCACCCTCCTCAGCCTCCCAAAGTGCTGGGATTACAGGCATGAGCCACTGCGCCCGGCCTAAACCTGTGTGGCTTTTTGGTTTTTGGTTTCTGATTTGGAAAGTAGGCTTAGGAAAGCTTTCCCTGCTTCAGCATTATAAAAATATCATCTGTAAGCCAGGCGCAGTGGCGCATGCCTGTAATCCCTGCACTTTGGGAGGCCGAGGCACCTGGCCAACATGGTGAAACCCTGTCTATACTAAAAATACAAAGGAATTAGCCAGGCACGGTGGCGCTGCTGTAATCTCAGCTACTCAGGAGGCTGAGGGAGGAGGAGAATAGCTTGAACCTGGGATGTGGAGGTTGCAGTGAGCAGAGATCGTGCCACTGCATTCCAGCTTGGGCAACAGAGCGAGACTCTCTTAAAAAGAATAATAATAAATAAACAAATAATAAAATAAATATCTGCAGTTTCTTTTTCTTTCTTTTAAATTTTAACATTTAACCATGGAGTTGCTCAGGCATGTTAGCTTACACCTATAATCCCAGGACTTTGAAAAGGCAAGGCAGGTGGATCACCTGAGGTCAAGTTCTTGAGACCAGCCTGGCCAACATGGTGAAACCCCATCTCCACTAAAAATACAAAAAAAATTAGCTGGGCATGGTGGCAGATACCTGCAGTCCCAGCTAGTCTGTAAGCTGAGGCAGAAGAATCGCTTGAACCCGGGAGGTGGAGGCTGCAGTGAACCGAGATTGCACCACTGCTCTCCAGCCTGGGCAACAGAGTGACAGAGTGAGCCTCTGTCTCAAAAATAAGAAATAAAAAATCACCATGGAGTTTACTTTAGAGTGCTGTATGATGTAATAATCTGCCTTTTTTTTTTTTCAAAGAGTGAACTAATTATGCTGGCACCATTTTTTGAAATAATCATTCTTATACCATTGGTACACATGTTTGGGACATTCTTAGGGTTTTCTCATCTTTCTGGTTTGTTTTTTCCATGGGCCAGTACCACAGTTTCAATTGCAGTAGTTGTACAGTTAGTTTTCTTTATAAGTGATACTTAGTAAGTGCTTATTACATGCCAGGTGCTGCGGTTGAATTCCTGCCTTTCTTTCTTTTTTTTTTTTTTCTTTGAGATGGAGTCTTTGTTGCCCAGGCTGGAGTGCAATGGTGCGATCTCTGCCTCCTCAGTTCAAGTGATTCTCCAGCCTTAGCCTCTCAAGTAGCTGGGACTACTGGTGCGCGCCACCACACCCACCTAATTTTTGTATTTTTAGTAGAGACGGGGTTTCACCATGTTGGCCAGGATGGTCTCGACCTCCTGGTCTCATGATCTGCCACCTCAGACTCCCAAAGTGCTGGGATTACAGGCGTGTGCACCGAGCTCAGCCTTCTTTTCTTTTCTTTTTTGAGATATGGTCTCCTCTGTCACTCAGGCTAAGTACAGTGGTGCAATCATGGCTCACCACAGCCTCAACCTCTTGGGCTCAAATAATCTTCCCACCTCAACCTCCTGAGTAGCTGGGACTACAAGTGTGCACCACTGTGCCTGGGTAATTAAGAAAAATTTTTTTGTAGAGATGGGATCTCACTATGTTGCCCAAGTTGGTCTTGAACCCCTGGGTTCAAGCTACCATCCCACTTCAGCCTCCCAAAATGCTGGGATTACAGGTATGAGCCACCGCGCCTGGCCAAATGCACACATTTTAGAGACAGACAGCTAATAAGTTGTCTTATTGAAACAACTAAGAAACGAGCCAAAGTTGCCTGACTCTAAAATCCACAAATTCAACCAACTCAGTAGCTTGCTCTTTAGGATACAGCACTATTGAAATATCTAAACATTAAAGTTTCTCATTATTATTGTTTTTCAGTGTTTTCTCTAGTTCTTATCTAAATTTATTTTTCCAGATGATCCTTGGAATCACTACCTTCTCCTACTCAAAAAGAAAAACAAAAAAAAAAAAAAAAAAAACCTTCTGAAATCCCCTGGGATTTTGATTAAAATTGATTTAAACTTAAATTATTTTGGGAAGAATTTGTATCTTTAAAATGTGGAGTCTTAATGGGAATATGTTATATCATCTCTTCATTTATATAACACTTTTATAACTTTCAACAAAACTGTAATTTCCTTTATGTCAGTTTTTTGCTTTTTATTTGTTTATTTTTTGAGACAGGATCTTGCTTTGTTGACCAGGCTGGAATACAGTGTGGCTCAATCAGAGCTCACTGCAACTTTGAACTCCTGGGCTCAAGCAATCCTCCTGTGGCAACCTCCCAAATTTTTCCCAGTCTCTTACTACCTTGGTTATGTCATTGGCTGGCCCCTCCCTCATTCTTTACCCTCCCTCATTGTCAAGGTTTCTCAGGGTCTTGTCCTTGGGTCTCTTCTCACACCAGGGCTGCTTCATGAATGATTCCTTCCTGCAACCTGGCCCTGGTAAACTGCTCCCTGGTCTCTGGTCACCTGTGTCTTACGTCACACATGCCATTCCCTCTGCCCAGCAGACACTGCTCCCCTTTGTGCCTGTCAGTTTGTTGTATACACAATGAATTAGAGAAATGAAAACTGTCACAGAGCATGGCTTTGTGGAAGGCAGAGATTTATACTTGTTTATTATCACCTAGCTGTGCAACTCTGTCACTCTTATTTTCTACAGGCTTAGAGAAAACAGGTGGGTGAGTGGGGCCATGGGTGAATGAAGCCACACGGAATCGTGGGAAAAGAGCATACATAGCATTCAAAGTCTGATCGGGGTTCAGGTTCTGGGTTTGCCACTTATAAGCCATGTGACCCTGGGCAAGTTAACTGACCCTGTAAGCTCCCTTTCTCTCTCTGGAAATGAGGCTGCTGATAATTCACCAAGTGGGATTGTGGTGAGAATTATCTTAAGAGAATGATTTAAACTCTTAGCACAGTCCCTGGCATATATGAGGGCCACAGCCCTAGCAGAGGTGCAAGTCCTTGTCTTGCTCTTGGAAAGCGTCCTGTTTGACAGGGACATTGACTTTTCCAGGGAAGTTGGTAATGACTTCCTGAAAAGACATAATTCGGCTGTCAGAGAGGTTCAGTGGGGGTGCCTACGAAGCAGGGAGTGCATGTGGGCTTTCTTGGTCATTGTTAGACAGAAGTAGCTTGCATCATCTACAGTGAAGCTTGCTTTGTCTGTTCCCTTTACTTCAGGTTCCAGTGGAATGGGAGCTTATCATGGAAAACATACTTTCGATACTTTTTCTCATCAGCGTCCCTGTTTATTAAAAGGTTTAAAGAGAGAAGGTGCTAACAAACTCAGATATCCTCCCAACAGCCAGTCAAAGGTGTACTGGGGAAAATTTTTTCTCTTGAAACGGTTCAACAAAGAAAAACTCGGTCTCCTGTTGCTCACTTTCCTGGGTATTGTAGCAGCTGTGCTTGTCAAGGTGAGTCCCTATTACCCATGAGTGCCATTCGTTCTGGTCCTGGCTCGATGGCTGCCAGATGCATATTCTAGCAAGATTCTACATTAACTTGTAGAGTCTTAAGACAGGGTCAGTGAACCACAGCCTGTTGGCCAGCTACCTGCTTTTGTCACTAAAGTTATTGGAACACAGCGGCACCCACTTATCCACAGCTGCTTTCACGGGATGATGACAGAGCTGAGTAGTTGCAACAGAGGCTGAATGGCCCTCAAAGCCTAAATTGTTACAGAAAAGTTTACTGACCTCTGGTCTAACAGTTAAAATGGTGTAGAACTTGCTTGCAAAATTCTGAGCTGTCTAACCCTTTGATCCTTTTGGTATTGGATTTTCCTTGTCACTTCCAGCTTTGTTCTTGAATGTGCATGAAGTCAGCTTGCCATGGAGATGGAGGCAAGAACTCTGGTGGATGGTAGTGCTGGTGAAAGAGCTTTGGTGAGGGATATTTTACTAGGTTTGAGTGCTTTTCCCCCAGAGTTGACTACCTGATAAAGTTTATCTTTAGTGATCAGTCATGATAGAGGTGGGCTTGCAAAGAGGCCTTCTCAAGGCAGTTTTCATATCTTGGAGTAAAAGAGGAAATCCATGATAATTAAAGTTAAGATGGAATGAGGAAGGTGACTATGTCTGTGGCACCCTCAGCGGAGATAAAATTGAAAATATCGACCACATTCGTGAAGAATGGGCTTGGAAAAGGCAATGGAAATAGCTGTGTTTATATTTTGTTTAAAATTTGAAGGAGGATTGGCTCATCTTACAGTATCTCAGCTTTAGTGGAATTGGAGATAACAGGTGCATTTGAAATCATTTGGGTTTTCTCAGAAATACCAAGCTGTGCTGAGGAGAAAGGCCCTGTTGATTTTTCTGATAGTTCACAGACTGCGTTGGTCCAGTAAACAGAGATGAACAGCAGATTTCAAAACCCAGCCCTGTCTGTTAAGAGTGAGGTAGGAACTTCTTGTTTTCTTTCTCTATATAAGGTGGGCCAAGTTGGGGTATGTTTTCAAGGGCTTTTTTGGTTTGTTTTTGTTTTTTTTTCTACAGTTGGAGGCTTAGGGGTTATTGAAAAAAGAATGCTTAACTTACTTGTCTCTAGACATTTTGGACTTGGGCCCAGAGTATCAGGGTGTTAAAACTCCACTTATCCACAGTGTTAAAAGGGTTGGGCGACCCGCTCGGAATCTAAGAGAAGTCTGAGAGGCAGTGGCTTAGTTGGGTCCAGGTGAAGCATACATCATTTCTAGGAACAGGGTAGCCGAGTGTGAGCCTCGTTTCTCTTCCCTATCTACTCAACTCTCCTGGAGGAAGTGCCAGCTGACTGAGACTTGTCACCATCTATCTACTCTCTTCTCTCCCTTCCTGAGGCTGGAGGTATGGTCAGAGGCTTGCTTGGGTCTCTGATCATTATCTGCCTCTTTTGTTATTATCCCAAGACCTCGGTTCCCCAGCCTGATAGTGCATTTTGGTTGGGATAGAATTTTTTTAGCTTCATGGAAAATATGGAGGTCCAGGCTGAGTCTGCATTCTCTAGGCTTACCAAACTCCCAAGAAGCTCCCCCAGGTACAGTGCCCTGTGCCAGGCAGGTTTGAGTTCCCAAAATGGTTTGGCAGACATGTTTCTCTGTGAGGGTCTAGAGAAGCAGCAATATATAAAACCTTTAGCAGGAACAAGAAAATGTGTTTTGATTCCTGGCTTGATGTTGACTTAATTATGACCTTGGGCCAAAGCCTTTTTTGAGCTCTTCCTTGGGCCTCAGCTTGTTCATTTATAGGATGAGGGAGTAGATGTCAGTGATTCCCCAGGCCACTGTCAACCCTCTCTCTCAATTCTCATTACCATTAGCTGTTAATATTTCTTTGGATTCAGTCTGGAACCAGGTAGAGATTTGATTTTCTTTTCTACTCTGCTGCTTTTCTGCTCCTCTCTGAGCTTTTAGTCCTCTTTTTATCAGATTACCTTTTATTTTAAACAAATGACTTTGAATCTATATTCAAAATACAGAGGAGTATTGAATCTTATTCAAAATAGACTACTGAGGAGTCTACTTAGTGTAATTACAAATATTTTTCTGAAATGGCTTTTATGTACTTAATAGTTTCCTTATTTTGTAATGTCCTTGGATTTGATTTTACTAATTACCTTACTAGGATTAGCATAAGTACTGTACACAAAGTAAAGTTCCAATAAAGCTTAGAAGCTACAACAGGCATTGTGGGAGATGTGGGTTTTAAAAGATTGAGAAACATAAGAGGTTAATGTTGATAAATGTCATTAGGCCTTTGACAACAAATATGACATTTGAACCTTGAGACTGCAACAGCCCTTCCTCGAGCTTCAATAGGATGGATTAAATTCAGTACTACTTTTGATTTTTTTTTTTTTTTTTTTGAGATGGAGTCTCACTCTGTTGCCAGGCTGGATGCAGTGGCGCGATCTCGGCTCACTGCAACCTCTGCCTCCTGGGTTCAAGCGATTCTCCTGCCTCAGCCTCCCGAGTAGCTGGGACTACAGGTGTGCACCACCATGCCCAGCTAATTTTTGTATTTTTAGTAGAGATGAGATTTCACCATGTTGGCCAGGATGGTCTCGATTTCTTGACCTTGTGATCTGCCTGCCTCGGCCTCCCAAAGTGCTGGGATTACAGGTGTGAGCCACCATGCCTGGCCTACTTTTGAATTTTAGAAACAAAAATTCATTTATCGCCTACTTTTGAATTTTAGAAACAAAAATTCATTTATCAGTTTTTGAATTCCATGTAGAGACTTCAGCTTCCTACTGAAAATGCTAGGATAGTAAATTAGTACTTTCATCTTTGGTCTCGTCTCTAACATCAGCTAATTGACAGTGGACAGAATATAGCCTCCATCATCATGCTGCCTCATTGTTATTGTTGTTTTTTGAGGGAGGACATAATCCTCTAGCCCAAACCACATTTCCTGTGCTTCCTAGGGATATGTAGTCTTTTTTTGTACAATGCATGTAGAGTCTCTTGGACAGGAGGTGAGTCCCATTACTGAGCTTGTGTTGCAAGGCTGGTTGCGGGTGGGTTTTCAAAGCAGCTGAGTAAACTGGATCCCTTTTTCCTCTCTCCAGGCTGAATATTACTGAAGAATGATCCTGTTCAACCTCATAGTGCCTCTACTGAATTATTCCTCTTTTAAATGGTTAGCGAACCAATAATTTTTAAATCCTACCAAAAATAGTAAGAAAATATGCAAACACACTGTGATCAAACTTAAAGGTCATTGCCATTCATCATTAATAAAACTTGCCATTTTAGCGAAAACCCAACATTCCCTAATAGGGTATTCAGGGAACCTATCTTAGATTGTGCTTATCCAAATCTTGGAGCTTTGAGCTAGGGGAGGAGAATGTATTAGACTAAATACAAACTTTGGGGGCTTGTAAAGGAGTCTCAGAAACTACTCAGTGAGTCCTTCACTCCAGTTAATGGCACTGCCCGCCTGCTGCCCCATCATTGTTTGAAGCTTTCAAGAGCTTGGTACTTCCCAGGGCTATCAGCAGTCCTCTGTAGTCCAGAGGTGAGGTTAGATCTTCCCAGTTCCCTATGAGATTTCAGGCACTAAAGCTCTATGTCAGAGAGGGAGGGGTTGCTCCTCCTCCAATGGGACTCAAGGACTTGACCTCCAGGAGTCAGGCCTCTGGTCAGAAGTGCCATCTCACCAGTGGTACTCATTCTTCCGCATTGATTCTCCATCATCCTGTGTTTTGTTTAGTTGCGACAATCTCTTGTGACTAATATCACTCAGAACATCTTGTAAATCCTAGGGCTTCCTGGAACTTAGTTGCCAAAGTCATACAAGCATCACCTGTCATTCTTGTGTTGAAAGTATAGAATTCTTAAGCCTTAAAAAAAAAAAAAGAAAGAAAAGAATGTATAGAATTCTACATCTTTTTTCAGAGACAGAGCCTTGCTGGAGTGCAGTGGTGTGATCTCAGCTCACTACAACCTCCACCTCTTGGGTTCAAGCAGTTTTCCTGCCTCAGCATCCCAAGTAGCCGAGATTATAGGCATCTGCTAATTTTTGTATTTTTAGTAGAGACAGGGTTTCATCATGTTGGCCAGGCTGGTCTTAAACTCCTGACCTCAGATGATCCTCCTGCCTCGGTCTCCCAAAATGCTGGGATTACAGGCATGAGCTACCATGCCTGGCCAGAATTCTGCATCTTATAAAACCTAACTGGCATTTAAAAAATACCATAGCCGGGCGTGGTGGCTCATGCCTGTAATCCCAGCACTTTAGGAGGCCAAGGCGGGGGGATCGCTTGAGTTCAGGAATTGCAGACCAGCCTAGACAACATAGTGAGACCCCATCTTTACCAAAAAATTAGAATTAGATGTGGTGGCATGTGCCTGTGGTCCCTGCTGCTCAGGAGGCTGAAGCAGGAGGATTGATTGAGGCTGCAGTGGGCTGTGATTGCACCACTGCACTCCAGCTTGGGCGACAGAGCAAGACCCTGTCTCTGAAACAAACAAAAAAAGACTGTAATAGAAGTACTTATAAACATACTTATCCTCTCTCAGGACCCTAAAGTTGCAGGTTAATAGGTCTTCAAGGACAAATCTGTAAGTTTCTTATTTCAGTAGCATAGTGCGAGTAAAATTTCACTTTTTTAAACTATAGAGAGATCCCTTTCTGAACAGCCTACAGAACTTAAAGTGAGGGAACCATTTCCTCTCACAAAGAGGCCTTGGATCTTATGACTTTGGGGTTTGAGAGCTTCATGGGGCAGACAGATGGTGGATGTTGTAGAGAAGAAGCAAGCAAGCCGTTGCAGTTGGTCATACCGAAAGGGATGGATGACAAGAGGATCCCTTGAGCAAGTGAGAAGTTATTCTCATCAGTCACTGTGGCCACCACCTGAAGTACTCAGCTGAGTGGGCAAGGCTGAAGAAGAGGCCTGTGGAATGCAGTGTTACTGCTGAACGGGCGGGGCGGGGCAGGGCAGGGCAGGGCAGTGTTGTGCTGTGCCTTCAAGCTCCTGACTACAGAGACTCCACATCCCCACACTCAAAAAGACTCAGCTCACTCAATGAGACAATGTAACTTGAAGAATGTATAATTGTTGAATAATTAGTTTTATTAAGGCTGTCTCAAGTATGTGATGTCGTCATAGCATAAAGTGTCAAGAATTAATAACTAGCCTAGTTTAGGAAAAAGCTGCTTAAAACTGTGGCTCTAAGAGAGTAATCATAAAATACCTTAGATAAAATTGCACTATGGAATTTTCATTTGGTATGTTTCAATTATTGGCTTGTCCACTAATACATATCTGCTTCAAAATGAATATATTTCATAAAATTGGCATCAGTTTTAATGACACTCCTTGTGCAGAACCTCAGATATGCCCCATTGGAGACAGTCCTTTGATCATAAATTCTCCCCAACTATAAATCCTTTTATGTCTTTATTATAGATGGTATTTGTCAACGTTTTTTATCATGCTTTCTCATTTTAAAATTTTTAGTCAAGGCCGGGTACGGTGGCTCACGCCTGTAATCCCAGCACTTTGAGTGGCTGAGGCAGGCAGATCACCTGAGATCGGGAGTTCGAGACCAGCCCACTGATGGGCTGACCAACATGGAGAAACCCCGTCTTTACTAAAAATACAAAATTAGCCAGGCATGGTGGTGCATGCCTGTAATCCCAGCTACTCGGGAGGCTGAGGCAGGAGAATCGCTTGAACCCGGGAGGTAGAGGTTGTGATAAGCCAGGATCACACCATTGCACTCCAGCCTGGGCAACAAGAGCAAAATTCTGTCTCAAAAAAAAAAAAAAAATCTTAGCTGAGAAGATTTTCTCAAACTTTATGTTCTGCTGTGTGTGTTGGCAGGTGTGGGGGTTAGTAGCCACAGTAAATAGTTTTTTTCCAATGGCATCCTCCTGCCCCCAGTTGCTGATCTACGACAAGTGTTTCTGTAAGCATATTCATAGAACACTAATCCCACAAGATTTTACACAAAAAATAGTCCTGCCACCAGTCCTGTATAACACTGGCTTGTAAAGCACATCAGCAAACTAAAGGACCCAAATATTTCGGAACCTCTGAAGTGCTTTCCCAGACTTCCTTGACGCCATGCGGTTTATCTTAATACCTGTTAACCATGGAGCACACTTGGGCAAACAGCGTGGCACAGAGTCTGGAATTGCTTCAGTGATGACTTCGCTATGCTCTGTTCCTAGTGTTCCTGGTTGTTTTGTGCCCTTATTTATATCATGTCACTACTAGAAGAAAAAGTACAGTGAGAACGAGCATTTCTCAAAGTCTTTAATAAATGAAAATGGCCATGGAATGAAAGAACTGGAGAAAAGGGGAAGAAGGGTGTATGGACAGCTACCCGCCCTGGTCAGGGTCTCACAGCACCTGTGTCTGCCAGGGACACACAGCGGGTGCCTGGACAGCCCACTGGCCCCCTTCTCACAGCTTCACAGAGGCTTTATGACAGACTTGAGTAGCAGGCTGTGCCTAGGAAATGTATAATCTTTAATGTAATAGTGGTTTTGTGATTTTATCTACAGTCTCTCATTTGAAGCCATTTACATTAATAATAGTGGCAGTCTCTGGACTCTGATTCATGCATTTGGCTGATGTCTTCTATAGAGCAATCCAGGTCAGAGAAGAAAACTCCAGTTTGACCAGAACAGAATGGCCAGTCTGCTCTGTTCAGACCCTCTGAATGTCACCACAGGGAATCAGCCAAAGTTCTTTTTCTGAGGAGTGGTTCAAAGTGTCCACCTTCCCTGGACCCCATTGGCACTTCTGCAGGGCAGACCATGGTGTGTTCAGGTACTGGGAATGGCTACTCCTGGCTTTCTGTTTCTGAGCTGCTTTGCTAGTGCTTGGTGATCAGGATCCTGACTGCGAGCCCCACCATCAGTGTGGCTGACGCCGCCCCCAGAGCAGCCCCACGGCGAATGACCAGCTGTTTAATTGACAGTCTGCTGGTAGGAGCTGAAAGGGTATGAGCCTCCTCTAGAGTCCTGAAGAGGTCCACGTGGCACTCAGACCTTGAATACGTTGTCAGGGTAATGCCAGGGGAACTCCCAGTAGCCACTGCAGAAGCAAACAGGAGCAAACTCAGTAGGCCAGGGGTGAGCGGGAGAGCTAGCCTTAGAATCAGAAAACCTATCCTAACCACCTGGCTGCATTTGTTACACCTCACAAGAGATAATGCCTATATAGTAGAAAAATACCTGCTTTTTCTGCTTGAAAAGCAAGACCAGAGGAGGAGATATGTGGGAAAGCATCTTAAACTGTGAATTTCACATGCAGATAATGCTTACTACTAGGATCTGATGAGGAATGTTCTCTTTAGCACTTGGCCTTGTGATGATCGATGGCTTCAAAAGCACATGGGAAACACAATTAATCGTGTCTTACTGTATTCTCTCATGACAACTTAAGCTCCCAGAGTTTTAGCTGGCTCACTACTGCCCTGATCAAGGATGAGTCCAGGATGGATGAGGTCATGGAGACCTCAACTGAATGAGCTTTGGGCCATTTGCACACACACACCTGGCACTCAGGACCAGCCCTGGGGCAGAGCAGGGCCATCACTTCATGACATGGACATTGAGCATAAACCAGAGAGACGCTCGTCTGCCCAATGGGGTAGAGAGAGGCATATAGCAGGTCCCCCAAAGCCAGTGAGTCAAGCCAGGCCAACTGACAAGCCAGGCTCCCCAGACTGGCAGCCGTAGGTTAAAGGTTGGCCTTCCGTCCTGAGCAGAGTTCAGTGGGAGAGATCATGAGCTTTAGCGTTCGACGGGTTGATGCTCAGATTTTATCTCTGGCCTTTATGAGTTGTGGAATGATAGGGAAAATACGTAAGTTCTTTTTTTTTTTTTTGAGACAGAGTCTCTGTCACCCAGGCTGGAGTGCAGTGGCATGATCTTGAATCACTGCAACCTCCACCTCTCGGGTTCAAGTGATTCTCCTGCCTCAGCCTCCTGAGTAGCTGGGACTACAGGTGCCCGCCACCACGCCCAGCTAGTTTTTCTGTTTTTAGTAGAGACAGGTTTTCATCATGTTGGCACTAGGATAGTCTTGATCTCTTGACCTTGTGATCCGCCTGCCTTGGCCTCCCAAAGTGCTGAGATTACGGGCTTGAGCTACTGTGCCCAGCCGGAAATATGTAAGTTCTTTCAGCCTCACTTCCTCATCTGAAAATGGGCATGCATCTAGTTGCCTCTCAAGGCCAAGGACTTGGTATAGGGCCTGGTACTTGCATGCCTGTTAGACAGTAGATGTTGTCTTCCCGGTGCTTAGGACATCATTTTCATAATAATGGGAAGAAAAAGAGCTTGGGCTTGTAAGCAGAGGCACAGAGGGCAGACAGGAGCAACGTGCCAGTGACGTTTATATGTGTACCAAAGTAGAGGCAGCCATGACAGCACATTACCTGAAGATAGGACTGCTTTCTTAGGCCCAGGTCTGGTTGCAGTGCTCTCTGCTCTCTGCTGCTGCTGCTGCTGCTGACCTGAGTGTTTCTTAGCCTAAAAGAGAAAGAACTTGCTTGGGTTAACCTGCCAGCTCAGCAGTTCACCCCTTCACCACTGGCCTCACATTCTCTGCTTTTAAAACATTGCAAGCCCAGGCGCGGTGGCTCACACCTATAATCCCAGCACTTTGGGAGGCCAAGGCGGGTGGATCACAAGGTCAAGAGAACAAGATCATCTTGGTCAACATGGTGAAACCATGTCTCTACTAAAAATACAAAATTAGCTGGACATGGTGGCACATGCCTGTAGTCCCAGCTACTCGGGCGGTTGAGGCAGGAGAATTGCTTGAACCCAGGAGGTGGAGGTTTTGGTGAGCTGAGATCGCGCCATTGCACTCCAGCCTAGAAAGTATCATTTTAAAGCTGGGCATGGTAGCTCATGCCTGTAATCCCAGCACTTTGGGAGGCTGAGCTGGGTGGATTGCTTGAGCTCAGGAGTTCAAGACTAGCCCGGGCAATATAGTGAAACCCTGTCACTACCAAAAATACAAAAAAATTAGCTGGGCATGGTGGCTAATGCGTGTAGTCCCAGCTACTCAGGAGGCTGAGGCAAGAGAATCTCTTGATACCAGGAGGCAAAGATTGCAGTGAGCCGAGATCGGACCACTGCACTTCATCCTGGGCAACAGAACAATGCTCCATCTCAAATAACTAACTAAATAAATCATTTAAAATCTCTTTATCCAGTATCTTAAGTGTCAGGATGACTTTTTCTATGCACAAAGGCAAAACCACAGTCTGATAGGATTCAGGGTCTTTGAGGGAACATTGCTTCTCTGCTCTGCTTGCAGACTGAGTTGTGCCTTTGCTGTGCCTGAGAAGCAAAGGCTGCCCTGCCCTGTATAAAAAGGACATCAAAGAGGATGGTGGGCAGGGGATTTTATTACCCCTTCCAAAGTTAAGGCACACGCTTGGAAGCTCATCTGCATTCAGACTAGTTTGAGATCTTTGCATTTGTTTGGTTTTCTGCAGATGGGGCTGTCTAAGGAAGGTTTTTTTATTTTGTTTCTCTTTATAACTGCAGAGCGTGCTTTTTATACTGGCCAATTACAGTAACGGGAGTCACTGTTGAGGCTCAGGTGGTCCCTCTATAATCCCCCACAAAACACCCACAGCTTATACCACACTGCTGTCAAGTTCTTATGTGCTCTGGGCATTTCTGGCTGAGTAGTCACTCTGCCTGGTGGGGTCAGGTGCAGGGTGTGTCTTGTGGCCAGGGGCAGCCGACCCACTTACTTCCTCCGCAGCAAGCTTCCAGTCCAGCCGGGCAGTATACACAACAAAAGCAGCAGTTGCCAGGGAGACACAGGCCAGCATGCCCAGCCAGAGGCCTGGAGGAGACAAGTGATGATGGGAAGAATGTGCGGCAACCACCCAGGCGTCTCCCAGCTTCCTCACAGCACATACCCATGATTCTCATTCTGACCACAAAGGTCAGAAGGATGCCCAGTGGTAGGCCGATGACATAATACGTGATGGCATTCACAGCGGCACCAAAGGCCTGCTTCCCAGTTCCTCTCAGGACTCCGCCGTAGACACACTAGGAGGGGAGGCAGAAATGGGCAAGATGATGAGACTAAGAGCAGGTGTCATATGCAGCAGGCCTTTGCTAAGCAATTCGCATGGCATTGCTTCAGTTGAATTCTCACAGCACGGGATGGGCACCCTTATCTCTCTTTCTTCCCTGAGGGTGACTGTCCAAGACAGGTCAAATCAATTGTCCATGTTACACAGAAGTAGCTGTGTTTGAACACAACCCCACAGCACCCAGGCTTCACCTCCACACCATATGGCCTCCCTAGAAAGTAAAGGTAGAATTCGTGGCCAGCAACCAATTGGTCTGGGAGACTGGACTAACTTCACATGGTACGGTTGTGGTGTGTTGGTTTCCTGTGGCAATGGTAGCAAATTGCTGTAAACTTAGTGGCTTAAAATAGCACAAAATTGGTCTGAGCATAATAGCTCATGCCTGTAATCCCAACACTTTAGGAGGCTGAAGCAGGCAGATCACCTGAGGTCAGGAGTTCAAGACCAGCCTGGGCAACATGGCGAAACCCTATCTCTACTAAAAATACAAAAATTAGCCAGGCAAGGTGGCACATGCCTGTAATCCCAGCTACTTAGGAGGCTGAGGCGCGAGAGTTGTTTGAACCTAGGTTGTACCACTGCACTCCAGCCTGGGCAACAGAGTGAGACTTGGTCTCAAAACACACACACACACACACACACTATTTAACAGCTCTGGAGGTTAGAAGTTTGAATTGGGTCTCACTGTGCCAAAATCAAGAGCTTGTTCCCTTCTGAAGGCCCTAGGAGAGAATGTTTCTCTGCTTTTTCCAGCTTCTAGAATTCTTTGTGTATTCATTGGCTGGTGGTCCCACATCACTCCAACCTCTGCTTCCAGCCTCACATCTCCTCTGACCCTCCTATATCCCTCTTCTAAGGACTATTGTATTTACATTGGGCCTGATAATCTCCGTCTCCAGATTCTTAATCACACCTGCAAAGTCCCATTTGCCTTGAAACACTCACAGATTCTGGGGATTATGATGTGGACGTTGAAACTTGGGGCCATCATTTTGCCTACAAACAGTGGTTGTTAGCTTATTCCATATGAGACAAGCAGCTCTCACCCACTGCTGTCTGTGATTATATCTCATCTCAAAGATGAGAAGTGCTCTGGACAAAGTCCTGTTTGTCTTAGTTTGTTAGTCTCATTCTCCCAACATGATTCCACGTCTACTGAACTACAGACACAGCTCATCTTTGGTCAGGATTATTGACCAATAGATATTTGGTTATTTTAATTTTGTTCCTATGAGAGGTGGGGAGTACTTTGTGGTTTGTACATATCTGAACAAAGAAGTAATGCACTGGGGTTAGGAGATATATGCCTCTTGAACTTTGAAATAGCTGTGCATCATGTACACCATGGAATACTACACAGCCATAAAAAACGATGCGTTCATGTCCTTTATAGGGACTTGGATAAATCTGGAAACCATCATTCTCAGCAAACTGATGCAAGAACAGAAAACCAAACACGGCATGTTCTCACTCATAGGTGGGTGCTGAAAAATGACAACATGTGGACTCTGGGAGAGGAGCATCACACACTGGGGGTAGTGAGGGGGTCTAGGGTAGGGACAGCGGGGTCGGGGGAAGGATGGGGAGGGATAACATGGGGAGAAATGCCAGATATAGATGAAGGGAGAATAGAGGCAGCAAACCACCTGGTTATGTATGTGCCTATGCAACAGCCCTGCATGACCTGCACATGTACTCCAGAACCTAAAGTAAAATTTAAAATAATAATTAATAAATAAAAGAAATATGCTGTGCATATTGCTGGTTATTATATGTCATGGCATGATCTTTTTTTGACTTAAAAAAAGACTTCTTCCAAATTATGATTGATGTACCCTGGACCAGTGTTTCTCAAACAGGGAGGGGAATTTCTGGGATATTTTTGTTGTGACAACTTCGGGGGTGTGGTGGGGGGAAGGTGTTACAGCATCTAGTGGGTAGAGACCAGGGATGCTGCTAAACATCACACAATGCTCAGGGACCACCCCCCCCAACAAAGAGTTATCTGGAGCCTATTCACATGGGCTGGAGATACCAAGAGTTCCCAGAAGAAAGTAAAAGCCAGGACACACTTGAAAAAAGCTGGAACTCTGAATGTGTCTCTAGCCCACAATGGATCTGTCAGCAGAGAATGGAAGCCTTGCTAGCTATCAGAGGTGTTGAGCACAATCTCTAACCAATAATTAGCTGAACACTAAGCTCTGCAGACATTTTTAAACCTAGAAAGATAGAACGTTTTAAACTAGAAAGTTAGATTTAAGAACGAGGAGAAAAAAACTGAGCAAGAGGTAAGCAGCTGCAGATTGCAGAGACGAGAGCCACAGAATCGGTGTAAGCAAGTTATTTAACCAACACAGTGACGTTCCTTGGGTGTAAATCTCACATGCAACATTCTCCAGGATAGACTTGCAGTAGGCCACAAAACAAATCTCAATAAACTAAACTTATAAAAAAATGTTGTTAAAGAGACAGAGTCTGGCTATGTTGCCCTGACTGGTCTTGAACTCCTAGGCTCAAGCAATGCTCTCATCTCAGCCTCCTGAGTACCTGGGACTACAGGCACACACCATCATTCCTGGCAAATTTTGAAAGACTGAATTCATACAAAGTATGTTCTCTGGCCACAATAGAATTAAATTAGAGATGCCTACCAGAAATAAAACCCCAAATATTTGGAAATTAAATGTACTTCTAAACCATAAGTCAAAGAATAAACCACAAAAGAAATTTTAAAATATTTTGAACTTGAAAATTTTGATGAACATCAAAATTTATTGGATGCAACTAAGGCAATGCTTAGAGGAAAATGTACAGCTTCAAATGCCTGTATCAGAAAAGGAGAAAGGTCTCAAACCAGTGACCTAATATTCTACCATAAGAAGCTAGTAAAGAGGCCAGGCGCAGTGGCTCACACCTGTAATCCCAGCACTTTGGGAGGCCGAGGTGGGCAGATCATGAGGTCAGGAGTTCAAGACCAGCCTGGCCAACATGGCAAAACCCATCTCTACTAAAAATGCAAAAATTAGCTGGGTGTGGTGGCACATATCTGTAATCCCAGCTACTTGGGAGGTTGAGGCAGAAGGATCACTTGAACCCAGGAGGCGGAGGTTGCAGTGAGCCGAGATCGTGCCACTGCATTGCAGCCTGGGTGGCAGAACAAGACTCCATCTCAAAAAAAGAAGCTAGTAAGGAAGAACAAACTATACCTAAATAAAGTAAAAGATTAGTGTGGGCCAGGCATGGTGGATCACACCTGTAATCCCAGCACTTTAGGAAGCCAAGATAGGAGGATTGCTTGAAGCTAGGAGTTTGAGACCAGCTTGGGCAATATAGTAAGACTCTGTCTTTACAAAAAATAAATAAAAATTTAAAAATAGATTAGTATGAAGTAATTGAAATAAACAGCAGAAGACTAAAAGATGCAACTATTTTTTTAAAAAACTGCTTTTCAAGACATGGACAGTATAAGATAGAAACCACAAAGTTAAGAAGCAGCAGGGAATGAAGTTAAAAGTTTTTATTAATTTTCTCTGTTTTTGCAATCAGTTTAGTTGTCATTAATTTGAAAATAATGGATCATTGGCCAGGCACAGTGGCTCACACCTGTAATCCCAGCACTTTGGGAGGCCGAGGCATGTGGATCACCTGAGATCAGAAGTTTGAGACCAGCCTGGCCAACATGGTGAAACCCTGTCTCTACTAAAAATACAAAAATGAGCCAGGTGTGGTGGTGCACACCTGTAATCCCAGCTACTCAAGAGGCTGAGGCAGGAGAATCGCTTGAACCCGGGAGGTGGGGGTTGCAGTGAGCCGAGATCATTGCACTCCAGCCTGGGCTACAAGAGCCAGACCCTGTCTCAAATAAATAATAGTAATAATAATAATGATGGTTATAAGATGTAATTTGCAAGCCTCATGGTAACCCCAAATCAAAAAACCTACAAAAGGCAAAATGGCAGTACTAAGTCCTAACTTATCAATAATAACATTGAATGTAAACGAACTAAACTCTCTAGTCAAAAGACAAAGAGTGGCTCAGTTGGTTAAAAAAAAACCCAGTGATCTGTTGCCTACAAGAAGCACACTTCACCTAAAAGACACACATAGACTGAAAATAAAGAGATGGAAAAAGATACTGCATACAAATTGAAACCAAAAGTGATCAGGAGTAGCTTATACTTAGACAAAATAGATTTCAAGAGAAAACCTATAAAAAGAACCAAGGTCATTATATCATGATAAAGGGGTCAATTCAGCAAGAGAATATAACATTTATAAATATATATATATATATATATCTACCCAACACTGGGGCACCCAGATATATAAAGGAGATATTATTAGAACTAAAGAGAGAGAGATTTCAATACAATAATAGCTAGAGATTTCAGTATCCCACTTGCAGCACTGGACAGATCATCCAGACAGAAAGTCAACAAAGAAACATTGGACTTAATCTGCTCTGTAGACCAAATGCACCTGACAGATATTTACAGAAGACTTCATTCGGCTGCTGCAGAATACACATTCTTCTCCTCAACATAGGGATCATTCTCAAGGATAGACCGTATGTTGGATCACAAAACAAGCCTTAAAAAAAATTTTTTTTAATTGAATTATATCAGATATTTTCTCTGACCACATTGAAATAAAACTAGAAATTATAACAAGAGGAACTTTGGAAACTCTACAAACACATGGAAATTAGTATGCTCCTGAATGACCAGTGGGCCAAGGAAGAAATTAAGGAAATTTAAAATTTTTCTTGAAACAAATGATATGGAAACAACATATCAAAACCAATGTGATACAATGAAAGCAGTACTAAGAAAGTTTACAGCAATAAGGACCTACATCAAAGGGAAAAACATCAAATAACCAGATGATTCATCTTAAAGGCTAGGAAAACAAGAGCAAACCAAATTCCAAATTAGCAGAAGAAAACAAAGAATAAAAGAGCAGAAATAGCTTAAATTGAAACAGACCAAAAAAACACAAAAGATCAATGAAACAAAAATTTGTTTTTTCGAAAAAAATAAAATAGACAAACCTTTAGCCAGACTAAGAAAAAAAAAGATCCAAATAAATAAAATCAAATGAGAAAGGAGACACAACTAAGACCAGTAAATGCAAAGGATCATTAATTACTACTATAAGCAACTACGTATTTATTTCCAATAAATTGGAAAACCTAGAAGAAATGGATAAATTCTTAGACACATACAACCTACCAAAATGCAACCATGAACAAATCTGAAACCTGAACAGGCCAATAACAATAATGAGATTGAAGGTGTAATAATAAGTCTCCTACCACTTCTTGGCCTTTGGCTAAGATCCTAGCAAAGAAAAGCCCAGGACCCATTGACTTCACTGCTGAATTTTACTAAGCATTTAAAGAACCAATACCAGTCTTATTCAATCTATTGAAAAAAAATAGAGGAGGGAGGAAAATTTCCAATATCATTCTACGAGGCCTGTATTATCTTGTTACCAAAACCAGACAAAGACACATCAAAAAAAGAAACTGCAGCCTAGTATCCCTGATAACAAAAATCCTCAACAAAAATACTAGCATACTGAATTCAGTAACACATTAACAAGATTATTCATCCATGACCAAGTGGGATTTATCTGTGGGATATAAGGATGATTCAACACATGCAATATGTCAATCAATATGATACCTCATACCAACAGAATTAAGGACAAAAATCATATGATCATTTCAATTGATGCTGAAAAGTGTTTAATGAAATTCAGCATCCCTTCATGACAAAAAATAAAAACCTCAGAAAAACTGGGTATAGGGGGAACATTAACACAATAAAAGCCTTATATAACAGACCCACAGCTAGTATCATACCAAACGGGAAAACTGGAAGCCTTTCCTCTAACATCTGGAACAGGACAAGGATACCCACTTTCACCACTATTATTCAAAATAGTACTGGAAGTCCTAGCTAGAGCAGACAAGAGAAATAAATAAAGTGCATCTAGATTGAAAAGGAAGTCAAATTATTCTTGTTTGCAGGTGATATCTTTTTTTTTTTTGGAGACAGAGTCTCACTTTGTTGCCCAGGCTGGAGGGTTCAGGCAGTTCTGCCTCAGCCTCCCAAGTAGCTAGGGTTACAGGCATGCGCCACAAAGCCTGGTTAATTTTTGTTTTTTTTGTTTTTAGTAGAAATGGGGCTTCACCATGTTGTCCAGGCTAGTCTTGAACTACTGACTTCAAATGATCCATCTGCCTCAGCCTCCCAAATGCTGGGATTACAGGTGTGAGCCACCACACCTAGCTGGTGATATCATCTTATTTTTTTTTAGAGACAGGATCTTGCTCTGTCATCCAGGCTGGAGTGCAATGGTGGATTCACAGCTCACTACAGCCTTGACCTCTTGAGCTCAAGTAGTCTTCCACCTCAGCCTCTCAAGTAGTTAGGACTACAGGCATGCACCACCATACCAGGTGACTTTTCTGTTTTAATAGAGATGTGCTACCATTCCTGGCTAACTTAAAAATCTTTTTGGAGAAACAGGATCTCACTATGTTGCCCAGGCTGGTCTCAAACTCCTGGCCTCAAGCAGTCTTCCTGCCTCAGCCTCCCACAATGCTGGGATTACAGTTGTGAGCTGTCTGACACAGATAATAGGATCTTACATTTGGAAAAACCTAAAGACCCCCACCAAAAAACTATTAGAACTGATAAATCCAAGAAAGTTACAGTATATGAAATCAACGTATGAAAATCAATAACATTTCTATATACCAACAGTGAACAATCTGAAAAATCAAGACAGTAAACCCATTTATAATAGCTACAAATAAAATACTCAGGAACAAATTAACCAAAGAAATGAAAGATGGCCAAGTGCAGTGGCTCATTCCTATAATCCTAGCATTTTGGGAGTCCAAGGTGAGTGGATTTCTTGAGGCCAGGAGTTCAAGACCAGCTTGGGCTACATGGCGAAACCCATCTATACAAAAAAATACAAAAATTAGCCAGTTGTGGTGGTGTGCACCTGTGGTCCCAGCTACTCAGGAAGCTGAAGTCAGAGGATCACCTGAGCCCAGGAGGTCAAGGCCATGGTCATGCCACTGCACTCCAGCCTGAGTGACAGAGTGAGACCTTGCCTCAGAGAAAAAAAAAGAAATGAATGATCCCTACAGTGAAAACTATAAAACATTGATGCAATAAATTGAAGTGGACACACAAAAATTGGATATTCTATGTTAATGGATTGGAAGAATTAATATTGTTAAAATGTCCATACTACCCAAAGCATTCTACAGATTCAGTGCAATCCCTATTAAGGTACCAATGACATGCCTCACAGAAATAGAAAAAATAATCCTAAAGTTTATATGGAACCACAAAAGACCCAGAATAGGTAAAGCCATCTTAAGCAAAAAGAACAAAACTGGAGGAATCACATTACATAACTTCAAATTATACAACAGAGCTATAGTAATCAAAACAGCATAATACTTGCATAAAAACAGACACATAGACTAATGGAACAGAATAGAGAACCCAGAAGTAAATCCAGTCATCTACAGTGAACTCATTTTTTACAAAGGTGCCAAGAACATACATAGGGGAAAGGACAGTCTCTTCAATAAATAGTGCCAGGAAAACTGGATATTCATATGTAGAAGAATGAAGCTAGACTCCTATCTCTCACCATATACAAAAATCAATACAAAATGAATTAAAGACCTGAAGACCTCAAACCATGAAACTACTAAAAGAGCAACTTTGGGGAAACTCTCCAGGAAATTGGTCTGGGCAAAGATTTCTTGAGTAATACCCCCAAAGCACAGGCAACCAAGGCAGAAATGGACAAATGAGATCATATCAAGTTAAAAAGCTTCTGTACAGTGAAGGAAATAATCAAGAAAGTGAAGGGACAACCCACAGGATGGGAGAAGATATTTGCAAATTATCCATCTGATGAGACATTAATAACCAGCATGTATGAGGAGCTCAAACAACTCTATAGAAAAAAAATCTGGCCAGGCGCGGTGGCTCAAGCCTGTAATCCCAGCACTTTGGGAGGCCGAGGCAGGTGGATCACAAGGTCAAGAGATCGAGACCATCCTGGTCAACATGGTGAAACCCCGTCTCTACTAAAAATATAAAAAAAAAATTAGCTGGGCATGGTGGCGCATGCCTGTAGTCCCAGCTACTCGGGAGGCCGAGGCAGGAGAATTGCCTGAACCCAGGAGGCGGAGGTTAGGGTGAGCTGAAATCGTGCCATTGCACTCCAGCCAGCCTGGGTAACAAGAGCGAAACTCCGTCGAAAAAAAAAGAAAAAAAATCTAATCCAATTAAAAAATGGACAGAAATAGAAAAAAATTCTAAAATGTATAAGATCTGAATAGACATTTCTCAAAAGAAGACATACAAATGACAGATATATGAAAAGGTGCCCAACATCACTGATCATCAGAGAAATGCACATCAAAACTGCAATGAGATATCTCACCCCAGTTAAAATGGCTTCTATTCAAACGGCAGGCAATAATGGATGCAAGGTAGTATGTGAAGAAAAGAGAACCCTTGTACACTATTGGTGGGAATGTAAATTAGTGAAGCCACTGAGGAGAATAGTGTGGAAGTACCTCACAAACCTAAAAATAGAACTACCACGTGATCCAGCAATCCTGCTAGGTATATACGCAAAAGAAAGGAAATCAGTATATCAAAGAGATACCTGCACTCCCATGTTTATTGCACTATTCACAATGGCCAAGATTTGGAAGCAGCATAAGTATCCATGAATGGATGAATGGATGAAGAAAATGTGGCGCATGTGTACAATGGAGTACTGTTCAGCCACAAAAAAGAAGCAAAGGCAACTGGAAAAAGCCTATTTTTTTTTCCAAGAAATTGTGCTGGAACAACTGGATATCCACATAGAAAATAATGTATTTAGACATCCTTTGCCTTTTATGAAAGTTAAAAACACAGACCTAAAAGCAACATGCGAAACCAAAACTCCTATAAAATAATAGAAAGTTTAAGTGAATTTGGGTTGTACAATGACTTCTTTTTAAATTTTATTTTACTTCTTTTTTTAGAGATGGAGGTCTCTGTTGCCCAGGCTGGAGTGCAGTGCTGCAATCATAGCTGACTGTAACCTTGAATTCTTGGGCTCAAGCAATCCTCCTGCCTCAGCCTCCCAAGTATCAAAGACTATAGGTGTGCACCACCACACCCAGCTAATTTTAAAAAGCTTTTAATAGAGATAGGGTCTCCCTATGTTGCTCAGGCTGGTCTTGAACTCATGGCCTCAAGCAATCCTCCACCCTCAACCTCCCAAAGTGCTGAGATTATAGGCATGAGCCACCATGCCCAGCCTGACTTTTTAGATACAATACCAAAAGCGTGATCATGAAAGGAAAAAACTGTTAAGTTGAACTTCATTAAAATTAGGAACTTCTGCTCTGCAAAAGATAATAGTAAGAGAATGAAAAGTTATGGACTAGAAAATAATATTTGCAAAGCACATATCTGATAAAGGACTGGTATCAAAAACATGCACAAAAAAAAACCTCTTAAATCTCAACAGTGAGAAAACAACCCAATTAAAAAAACGGGCAAAAGATCTAGGCAGACACCTCTTTAGAGAAGACCTATACAGCTGACAAATAAGCATATGAAAAGATGCTTAACCTCTTATGTCATTGGGGAATAGCACATTAAAACAGTGAGATTTGGGTGTGGTGGCTCACACCTGTAATCCCAGCACTTTGGAAGGCCAAGGTGGGTGGATCACTTCAGCCCAGGAGTTCCAGACCAGCCTGGCCAGTATGGCAAAACCCCATCTCTACTAAAAAAAAAAAAAAAAAAAAAAATTAGCTGGGTGTGGTGGTGCATGCCAGTAGTCCCAGCTACTTGAGAGGCTGAGGCATGAGAATTGTTTGAACCTGGGAGGCAGAGGTTGTAGTGAGCCAAGATCACACCACTTCACGCTAGCCTAGGTGACAGAGCACGACTCTGTCTCAAAAAACCCATAAATAGAAAAAACAGTGAGCTACCACTACACCCATTAGAGTGGCTAAAATCCCAAACATGGACAATATGAAATGCTAGTGAGGATGTGGAATGACGGGGACTCTGATTCAGCGCTGGTGGGAATGCAAAATGGTATCGCTACTTTGGAAAACAACTTGGCGCTCTTACAAAGCTTACGTAGTCTTACTGTCTATCTAATAGTCATGTTCCCAGATAGTTACTCAAATGAGCTGAAAACATGTCAACACAAAAACCTGCACATGAATGTTTATAGTAGCTTTATTGATAAATTGCCAAAACTTGGAGCAAACTAAAATGTCTTTCAATCAGTAGGTGGATAAACAAACTGTGGTACATCCCTACAATAGGGTATGATTAAGAGATTAAAAAGAAAGAAGCTGGCCAAGTGTGGTGGCCCACACCTGTGATCCCAGCACTTTGGGAGGCCGGGGCAGGGGGATCACAAGGTCAGGAGTTCAAGACTAGCCTGGCCAACATAGTGAAACCCTGTCCCTACTAAAAATACAAAAATTAGCCAGGCGTGGTGGCGCACGCCTGTAATCCCAGTTACTCAGGAGGCTGAGGCAGAAGACTTGCTTGAACCTGGGAGGTGGAGGTTGCAGTGAGCCATGATCACACCACTGCACTTCAACCTGGGCAACAAGACAGGGTGAGACTCCATCTCAAAAAAAAAGAAAGAAAAGAAAGAAGCTATCAAGACACGCAAAGATATGAAGGAACCTTAAATGAACATTGCTAAGTGAAAGAAGCCAGTCTGAAGAGGCTACATACTACATGATTCCAACTCTGTGACATTCTGGCAAAGGCCACACTATAGAGACAGTTAAAAATAGTGGTTGCCAGAGGTTCCAGAGAGGAAAAAGGAAAGGGAAAGAGATGAGCAGGTAGTGCACAGGGAATTTTTAGAGCAGTGAAACTGCTCTGTGTGATGCCATGACAGTAGATACATGTCATTATACATTTGTCAAAACACATAAGATGCACAGCACAGAGTGAAGCCTAATGTAAATTATGGGCTTCAGTTAATAATGTCTCAATAGTAGTTCATCAGTTCTAACAAATGTACCGCGCTAACACGAGGGAAATCTGGGGGAAACTGTGAGGGGAGGGAGGAGATATATGGGAACTCCATATTTTTTGCTCGATTTTTTCTATAAACTTAAACCTGCTCTTAAAACCAATGCCTATTAATTGTTAAAAAATATAATACCAATAATTGGCAAGGAAGTAGGGAAACTGAAATCCTCATATATTGCTGGTGGGAATGTAAAATTGTACAACCATGTTAGAAAACAGATTAACAGTTTCTTTTCTTTTCCTTTTTTTTTTTTTGAATCAAGGTCTTTCTCTGTCACTCAGGCTGAAGTGCAGTGGCATGATTACAGCTCACTGCAGCCTCAACCACCTGGACCCAAGCGATCCTCCTACCTCAGCCTCCTGACTAGCTGGGACCACAGGTGTGCACTACCATGCCCAGCTAAATTAAAAATTTTTAGTATAGACAGGGTCTCCCTATGCTGCCCAGGCTGGTCTCGAACGCCTTGGTTGAAATGATCCTACCACCTCAGCCTCCCAAAGTGCTGGGATTACCAGCACTAGCATGCTGGCATGAGCCACTGCACCCAGCTGGCAGTTTCTTAAAAGCTAAAAATAAGGTTATCATTTGACCCAACAGTTCAACTCCCAGGACTCTACTAAAACAAATGAAAACAAATCCACACAAAGACTTCCGCATGAACGTTCTAAACAGCATTATTGATGACAGCAAAATCTAGAAACAACCCAAACGTCCATCAGCTGATGAATGGATAAACAAAGGCGGCATTTCCATGCAATGGATCTACTCAGTAATAAAAGGAGTGAGGCACTGACACGTGCTACCGCATGATGAACCTCAGAAACTGTGCTAAGGAGAAGCAGCCAGACCCGGAGACTGCATGGTGTACAACCCTCCTTATATGAAGTCGTTCATACTGACAGAAAGCAATTCAATGGATTACCCAGAGCAGGAGGTGGGAGCAGGGATTAACCACAAAACAGTCTCCAGGAAATTCTGGGGGGTGATGTAAAACTAGATGGTGGTGATGGTTGCACAACTCTAAATTCATTTAAAATCACTGAGTTGTATATTTATATATGAATTTTATGATATGTAAATTATAACTCACTAAAAGTTTACAAAATATAAAAATAGGCGGGGCATGGTGGCTCACACCTGTAATCCTAGCACTTTGGGAGGCCAAGGCAGGCGGATCACAAGGTCAGGAGTTCGAGACCAGCCTGGCTAATATGGTGAAACTCTGTCTATGCTAAAAATACAGAAATTACCCGGGTGTGGTGGCACACACTTGTTGTCCCAGCTACTCAGGAGGCTGAGGCAGGAGAATTGCCTGAACCCAGGAGGCGGAGGTTGCGGTGAGCCAAGATCGCGCCATTGCACTCCAGCCTGGGTAACAAGAGCGAAACTCCATCTCAAAAATAAAATAAAATAAATTAAAAATAAGCCTCATGGAAAAGGTAAATTAAGAAAAAGACTAGCCAGAAGAGAAGGTGATGGGATGCATGTACACAAGCTGTCAGGCCCCGGTAACTGTTCTCTGTAAACCTGACTCGGAGTTTCTTGGTAGCCAAAGTGAATAGAGAAGTACTGCCCACTGGAAGAGGAGGCACACTTAATTTCTTAAGAAATGCTGGGCTGGGTGCCATGGCTCATGCCTGCAATCCTAGCACTTTGGGAGGCTGAGGCAGGAGGACTGCTTGAGCCCAGGGGCTCAAGACCAGCCTGGACAACATAGCAAGATCCCATCTCTACAAAAGATCCCTTCTCTACCTCAGCCTTCCAGCTACTCAGGAGGCTGAGGTATGAGGATCACTTGAGCCCAGGAGGTCAAGGCTGCAGTGAGCTGAGATGGCACCACTGTACTCCAGCCTGGGCAACAGAGTGAGACCTGTCTCAAAAAAAAGCAAAGCCATTCCTAGCCTTCAGTTTCTTCAATTTTAAGAAGGATTTCTCGGGTGTGGTCTCAACCAGACACTAGAGAAAAAATATGAATAGTGTCTTAACAGTATCCAGGCCGGGTGAGGTGGCTCATACCTGTAATCCCAGCACTTTGGGAGGGCAAGGCCAGTGGATTACCTGAGGTCAGGAGTTTGAGACCAGCCTGGCTGACATGGTGAAACCCTGTCTCTACTAAAAATACAACAATTAGCTGGGCATCAGGGCACATGCCTGCAGTCCCAGCTACTTGGGAGGCTGAGGCAGGAGAATCACTTGAACTCAGGAGGTGGAGGTTGCAGTGAGCCAAGATTGCACCACTGTACTCCAGCCTGGGCAACAGAGTGATACTCTGTCTCAAAACAAAACAAAACAAAAGAAATAATATTTTATGACAAAAGCAATAATGGGTTTCATAAAGTAGTTTCGTTTGATGTTCCTTGATAAAGGCCACAAATATGATGCCAGAACACAGCCCAGAGAAAGCATTTCTGCTGAGGCTAAGAACACACGGCCCAAGGATGTCGCTTTCTGAACACCAAACTGTATTATAATAGTTAGTGAACTGGATGGAGTACCCAGAGGCCTTTAGAAAAATCCTCCGTAAGTGTAATTTCTTCAGTAGGTTTTTAATGAGCTGGTAGTTATCATACAGGTGTTCTTCCCCAGCTAAGCAAGGCCTGGAGTGTGCCCGTGTTTCATGCTGCTAATTAAGGGCATATCCTCCTGCAGAGTGATGGGAATTTATGCGAGAGGTGGGTTCCTAAAGAATTCACATAACTCCAGATGCAAAGTAGGAGTCATATGAGTTCAAATTCTGCTTATTAAACAATACTTAAGTGTTTTGGGTTTTTTCGTTTGTTTTCTCATGTTTTTAAAAAATCATAGCTGGGCACAGTAGTTCACGCCTATAATACCAGCACTTGGGGATACTGATTTGGGAGGATCGCTTGAGTCCAGGAGTTTGAGACCAGCCAGGGCTTAGATGATAAAACTGGCAGCTTGCGAGGCCAGCCCTGCCTCCACGTGCCAGCCTTCCTCTAGCCCAGGCTGGTGACTCAGGCCAACATTTGAAGGCCCACCAGGAGAGGACTCCACCTACCATAGTGTGACCCTGTCTCTTCAAAAAATAGAAAAATTAAAAAGTTAGCTGGATGTGGTGGCATGCACCTGTAGTCCCTGCTACTCAAGAGGGTGAGGCGAGAAGATCGCTTGAGCCCAGGAGGTCGATGCTGCAGTGAGCCACGATCGCACCACTGTACTCCAGCCTGGGCGACAAAGCGAGACTCTTTCTCAAAAAAATATATAAAATCACATAATTCAAATCTGTTATCTGAGACCTGTCTTTCAGTGATCAGAGGAGCAGATAGTCCAGGTCCTTCTATGTTCTGGTTGGGCTTGTTCCCTTGTAGAAATGTCCCTCTGTGCTGGCTACAGGATATGGTTGCCGTTCGCTCCTGGCCAGCCTGGGGCACAGGTCAATGTCATGGTCCCAGCTCATGAGGAATCCGGAAGAAAAAAGATTTGTGGCTTTACACTGCTGCAATTTTTCAGTTCTTTGCTAATCCGCATTCACTTTTTGGCTTGTGTAAATTGCAGGAGAGGAGAGAAGTCACTGCTTGAAATAAGAATGGAACTATTATCAGCAAATACTTTAGGCACTTACTATACAGTTAGCCTTTCACGTGTATTAGAAAGTTCATCCTCACAGCCCTATGAGGTCTTGGGGAGGGCAAAGGTATGTAAATTGTGTCCCCGAGTCAGGCTTTGGACCAAAGCGGTACTCACACAGAGGGCCTCAAACACGTGAAAGACGCTATAAACCGGCAAGATCTGGCCCACCAGGGCGATGACATCTCTGCAGAAGAAATGAGAAAGCATAAGACACAGAGGTAGCTTTTGAGACCCAGTTTCTCCCTTCTGTTCCATGCCCCCCACCCCCCGCCAAGAAAACGCTTTGGAATAGAGGTAGTTGCCCCACACAAATGTAACTGGCACTGCTAGCCCAGAGTTTTCTGTCTCTGTGGGTCACACCTCAAACTTCAGAGAACCCCCATAATTTTGTACTGCCCTTCAGTTAGCCTCTTGTCTGTGGACAGGCGGGTTATGAAGGCCTGGAGTGGACAGAGGTTGACTCCTCAGACATGAGTTAAGTGCCTTTGCCCTCCCCAGACCTCGCCGCACTGTGAGGATGCACTTGCTAATACACGTGAAGGGCTAGCTGTATAGTAAGTGCCCAAAGTATTTGCTGATCATAGTTCCATTCTTATTTCAAGCGAAGAGCCTGGATTCTTCCTGCTTCCTTTGGGCCCAGCACTGGGCCAGGCACATGATAAATCTCTGTGGACAGGCTGGGAACCTCTGTAACATTTTCCAAAAGTCAGCATAGAAAACTGATTACCTACTCATCATTGGTAAATATGTGCCCCAGCTGATTTTTCAGGATGCTAATCAGGGTGCCCAGGACCAGGGAAATGCCAACTGGAAGAGACAAAAGGTGCAGCAATGACAGACCCCAACCCAGGGAGCACCCTGCTCAGATCAGCAAAGGGCGGACCGCTTTGTCAGTGCAAGTCAGCCCAGCCCTCTGCAATTAGGTGCCTTTTGTCATGGGCCCTGATGTCCCCTGCATCTGAGGCATTCATTTGGGCTAGACACTTAGTCTGGTAGGAAGGGCAGTGTGGAAGATGCTTTCACTTCGCTGGTTCTCAGAGTGGGGGGCACACTGGCCCAGCAGCATCCACATCACCTGGGAACTTGTTAGAAACGCAGATTCTCAGACCCTGCCTCCCATCTACTGAATCAAAGCCTGCTGGAGAGGCCCAGCAATCTGTGACCAGCCCTCTTGGGGATTCCGGCACAGGCTACAGTCTGAGAACCACTGCTTTCTACAGGGAAGCCGGTGTGAGCCTTCAGTCTAAGAAAGCACAGCCATAATGTCGGAGGACACGAGTGGCTCCTTCTCAAGGGAGGGTGGGCAGCTGCCGAGCTCATGAGGGTGCTGGGAGGGCCGGGCTTGCAGAAAGACTCTGAACAGCCTGAAGAGTGCTGGACAAGAAGGGTCTTCAAAGAGTCAGGCTTTTCTCTAAGGTGAGTGGTAGAAGCCAGCTATCTCCAGAAGAGTCCCAGAATCATAGCAGCAGGAAGGCGTGAGTGGGGGTGGGGACAAGGTGGTGGGAGGGACGCTTGCTGCTCAGGGAGGGGCAGCTGTCAGCTTATCAGCAGAGGCTGGCCTGGGTCAGATGGCAGGTCCAGCAGGCTTGGAAGATAAACCTGGCAGCTCCCAAGGCCAGCCCTTCCTCCACCGTGCCAGCGTTCCTCTGGCCCAGGCTGGTGACTCAGGCCCATGTTCGAAGGCCCACCAGGAGAGGACTCCACCTACCTATGAGAAGCACACCTGAGACAGCCGAGCGTTTGGCCTGCACAGTGTCTGCAGCCCCCAGAGCCATCCCTACTCGGACACACACCCCGATGCTGAGCCCCAAGGGAATCTGGGATCAACGATAAGAAAGCACTGTCAGTGGGGCCGCCCTGTAACCCCTGCAGTCCTGAGCCAGCCTAGGCCAAAAGGGATGGGGGTGGGAAGGTGGAGCAGATCTCAGGCCTGCAGCCTAAGAGGCGTGTGGCATTCTTGCTGCTGACAATGAGGCAGGGAGGGCTGGGGCTGGGAGAAGGGTGGGGGGACCCCCCAAGAGCCAGCCAGTCCCACCACCATCTGTGCCATCAGAGGCAGCACAGGCAGGTGGGCCTTGCAACCGGTATCACTGTGTGGTCAAAATCCAATGAGAAACAGATTTTGAAGAGGTGACTATGGTCTTAAGAATACCTGAAAAGCTCCCTGTAAGAAAAAAGAGAGTTCAGCAACAAACATTGGTAAAAATGGTTTTGTAATGTAGATTTTTGTGAATCCTTTGTTTAAACGTGGGGTCTAGGACAGCATGCCCCCAGGACGCTGGCAGATGCCAACTGGGCGGCATGAGGAAGATGATGGTGTGTCTCTGTGGGGAGTGAGTGGCGGGGGCTATGGTGGCGGAGAGCCCCTGGTCCTGCTGGGGATGCTGTCACCCAACTCTGGCCGACTGCAGTGTGCAGGAACGTGGGTCTGCTGCTCAATGGAATGTGCATTTCTTAAGAAAATCCCAAAATAAGATTGTGGTGTGAAATCTCCCAATTTAAAAATAATGCTAATTAATTTAAAAAATTCCCACATCTGTGAGTGAAATACCACCCTTGGTGGACAGGTTGAGGGCACCCGTGTGTTGGCCCTGGCATAAGCTGAGCAGGGCCTGGACCTGGTGGGCACGAGAGGTCCAGGACGGTCCCTTGGGAGACGGAGACAGCCTCAGGTGACAGCGGCCCCCTGATGACACCTCCAGCCGTCAGGTGGGGGATGTGGGGAAGGCACCCCTGCAGGAGCCTTACTTACCATGTAGGTCACTGTGGCCACCTCATAGATGACAGCCTGGGCGGAGAGATCCTCCATGCTGAGCAGGCCTGGAGGAGAGGCTCGCTGTGAGCCCAGCCTGCAGCCCCAGACACCCAGACCCTGCACTGACAGGACGCTGCTCTGTTTTGGGAACTCAGGCAAAATTTTTTTTTCTCCTTGAGACAGGGTCTCACCCTGTCGCTCAAACCGGAGTGCAGTGACACACATATAGCTCACTGCAACCTCCACCTCCTGGCTTAGGTGATCCTCCCACCTCAGGCTCCCAAGTAGCTAGGACTACAGGTGGTGCCACCACACCAGTTAATTTTTGTAGTTTTTGTAGAAACCGGGTTTCGCCATGTTGGCCAGGCTGGTCTCAAACTCCTGGCTTCAAGTGATCCGCCTGCCTCAGCCTTTCAAAGTGCTGGGATTACAGATGTGAACCACCACGGCCGGCTGATTTTGAAGGGCAGATTGGTAACAATAACAACAAAAAGACATTCCTTCCAGCCTTCGACCTATTAAGAAAATTCTGCCCAGTACCCCAGAGGCCCCTGCAGGCTTTCACGTGTGGTTTGTCTTTCCAGATGAACTCAGGGTGGCAGCGTGAGCGAGGGGACAGAAAAAGGGGCCAGGATCCAGCAACCCAAGTTCAGTTCTCTGCCCTGCCACCGATTTCCTGTTTGTGGAGTTCCTCTGTTCCCGGGGCCCCATTTTCTCATCTGTTAATGCAGGGCGAGGGTCTGATATTCAGGCTGCCTCGAGTCCTCACTTCACCAAGTGCTCTAATGAGCACACACAAGACAGCAGGTAGGAGCCTCACACTTGCCAGCCCAGGCCTCTGTTCACATCCACAAACCAGCTCATTCGATCTCTCAGTTCTCCGTGCCTCAGCCACCTCCCACAGGCACCTGCTCCGCCCGGCCCATGCTGGGATTCAGGCACAAAAGGCCCAGGCCTGCCTCCTGGACGCTCACAGCCTAGTGGGAAGGCAGACCAGCAATAGACTGACCACCCTACTGGGCGGTGGTGCTCTCTGGGTCCATGCCTGGGGGTCTGGCCAGTGGAATCAGACGGGGGCTGGTGAGTTGCAATCCTGGGGAGGGGGCTTCTGGGCTGGGTGAGCCACCCACATGGCATTGTGCCCTCTCTGCTCTTCCACGTACCCATGAGGAAGCTCCCGACCTCGTAGGCCCACCACTCAATGCAGGTCATGAGCATGCTGGGGACAGCCAGGGAGAAAAAGGGGCCCCAGTCCTGCAGGCACTGGCTGGACCAACCTGGAACAGAGACCCCCTGAGCTGGCAGCCCGCCCAGCTTGCCCACCTGCTTCCTGCTCCCCACTGCCGGGAGGCCCCTAAACACCTTTGGCTCTTCCTGCTCTGGGGCTTAGCAGGCCCAGGTGCTGGGTAATTTGCAGAGGGAATGGGGATGGTCTAGCGCTGGTACTGGGCCCATGGAGGAGGAGCATGCAGGAACAGGATACCAGGCTCACCTGGCCGGTTCACAGGTGACCCAGTCAGCCCAGGGATGGGTGTTGGTTCCCACTTCACCCTCAACACTGTGGGATCTTGGGCAACTACCCGCCACTCTGCAGGCTCTGTTCCCATCTGAAAACCCCAGGCCTTAGCTCTGCCCTGCCTCCCCCGGGGGTTTTCAGAGGCAGCTTGATATCAAGGATGCTGAAGGCAAACACACTGCAGGTGCCTCAGAGGCTTGAAAGGGTCCCTGCCCCCAGGTGAGGCCCCACAGTCCCGCAGAGCTGTTCCCGAAATGCCTGGCAAGGGGAGGTCCTCTTTGTATGGGATTGGCTCTCAAGAGGCAGAACAGCACAGGCAGGCCCCAACATGCCTGGTGTTTCAGCAACTGACTTAATCTCTGTCTGTCATAATCTCCTCTTTGTAAGATGGGGTTAGTGAGGTGTGGTGAGGCTTAAATGAAGTCAGGAATATCAGGCGCCCTACACGCTGCTGACGCCTGGTATTCCGTGCCTGTCACTGCTCTCTCTGCCATCCTGAGAGCAGGGGCTAGGCAAGAAAGCTCCCTGGGCCAGGCTTCTGTGATGGACCCATCAGGGCTCTGCAGTGTGACACCTTGGATGAAGGGACCCTGGGCCCTTGTAGCTGGGGAAGCAAAGGGGAAGGAGGGGGGCCATGCAGGGTCCTGCATCTTCTGCCTGCTGACCACCCTGCCTGGGGCAGCACCGCCACTGGCCTGCTCAGCCTCCCAGAGCAGACCAGGCCTCCCACCTGCCCATGTCTCCAGGTGCAGCTTCTTCAGTATGATGTAGAGAAGGAGGAAGACGGTCTGTGCGAACTGGGAGATGATGTTGGCATAGGCAGAGCCTCTGGGAAAGGAGGGAGAGCAGGGCTAGGACTGATGCCAACTCTCTGCCACCCACTGATGCCATTCTCTGGGACTGATGCCACTTGCTGCCTGAGGGAGAGATGGCTCTGGCAGCCAGCCCACGTGGGGCAGGCATGGCTCTGCTCTACACCCATCCTGGGATCGGACGCAGCCAGGCCCCACAGGCACCTCTGGCCATGGTGGCTCTACCCAGGCAGCCATGACTACAGCGTCCTGGGGCCACTGCCAGTGCCCACTTTGCCTCTCCTGGTGGGCTGGGGCAGGAGTGGGGAGTAGCTGTCTTCTCACCCAATCAGGCCTCAAACTGAGGTCCCCAAGGGACCATCAGGCCCCTCCAACTCCCCATAACCCCCCACTTCAGGACAGCACAGGCAGGGCCAGGATGGTAACTGACCTGTCTCTACCAGGGGTGGGGAGCTTGGTGGGCAGTGCCCCCTGATCAGGCCCCACCAGCCCCTGAGCTCACCTGATCCCCAGCTCCAGCACAGAGACCAGGGCGTAGTTGCCTATACCGTTGACACAGTTGCCCACCACACCACTAAGGACTTGGGGCCATGTGATCTTCTGAAAGAAATCAAAACTGGCCCTGCTAAGGTGAGAGTGGGATGCATGACAGGTGGACAGACCCAGGGTGTGGAATGGGGACTCCCTCTCCTGCCCCTTCAGACATCCTCGTCTGGGAATTGGAAGAGGCTGGGACGCACAGCCTCTCACCCGCCTCTGTGCGGAGGTCAGGACATGGCGTGGTGGGCTGGAAGTGACCCTTTCCGGAGCTGGTTCACAGAAGGTGGAGAGAAGGGGAAAGCCCCAGGCCCCTCCCACTGGAATAGGGCAGTGTGCTGGCAGAAGGGCCGCCCCCATGCCAAAAACCTGTACCTGATTTTGCAAATATTTTGCCAGCAGATTGTAAAGAAAAATCACCTGTATGAAAAGCAAACCCAAACAAATCAGTAACAACGACCCAAATCCACCAAATGACCATTAACCAACATTCCTTTCCAGGACATGGTACCCTAGATTGGGCCAATTACTTATCAAAGTACATCTGGGACCCCTCAGGTACGGCCAAAGCCCACCTGACCACCTGGACTCGTGCTCTGACCCGGCCTATAGGAGAGGCCCCTCAGGACTCCCTTCTGCCACAGGGGAGATGAGCAGGCGTGTTTTGGCTCTGAGAGGACCCTTTGCACACTTGCTCATGGTGCACAGTGCCTGGTAGGCTTTCTGGCTGCTAAGCTAGGTCTCCATCAGCTTTGGAAGGTGAGATGACCCAAGAGGATTTGAAGGAGTGATCTGGAGTGGAGAATGGCAGGTGCTCAGCCATGCTGACTGAGATAAGCCTATGCTGAGCAAGTTCAAGACCCTACGGGGCGGTGGGGGAGAAGGGGCACGCCCTTCTCTGGCTGGGGAGGACCACAGGGGAGTGTGCGTGGCAGTGTGTGTGTTGGGGGCACTGTCCCTGCCCTTTCTCTCCTCTCTGAAGGAGTATAGAGTGGGCATCAACTGAAACCTAGCCCAGGGCCCACGCCTTCCTTGTCCCATTCCTCCCCTTAGCCCTCCACTTATTTTCAGCATTGTGTACTGATTAAGAGTACAGAGCTGGAATGGACTGGGTCCAGTTCCTGGCTCTGCCTCTTCTGAGATGTGTGATCTTGGGTAAGTCACTTAACCTCACTGAGTTTGTTTCCTCCTCTCTTATTTGTAACCTCACTGAGTTTATTTCCTCACTATTATTATGGGGCTAATAAGAGTGTGTGTGTACTTAAAATACACTTAATATTTTACATACATAAATATTGCAAAGTTAATATTGCAAAGTGCTTACAAAACAATATATGGGACATCTGAGCATTCCAGGTGTTAGCTGAGCACTATGTAAGTCAGTATTATTAGCAATTAACATCTGCAGCTGCATTTTATGGAAGGACCTTGGCTTATTTGATAAAGATGACGCCACAGTGATATCTATAGGGCATTTCCCCCTGACCCAGCGCCAATAGTCCTTATTGACAAGATGCCACCACCTTGGTCTGAATAGCCAAAGTATGGTTTGTATGGAAGACTCAGAGAAGAGCAGCCCTATAAGGTGGTTTCCATGATCTGGAAGAAATCTGTAACCAGCTAGGCCCCAAAGAGGTCATGGCACTGGCCTGGCAGAGAGGTGGGTGTGGCTGGGTCTACCAGGACTGCACGCTGTTGGGGCACCCCACCTTCAACCCTGACCTCTTCCCTGCCCAGCTCCCTGGCCCACAACTCTGCCCCTGGCACCCTGGAGTCTACAGTGTCAAAAGGTGAGCTCAGCCTGGTAGGACCGGACAGCACACAGAACTGCCAGTCCCAGCAGGCATCGCTAAGCTCCCAGTCAAACAGTGAAGCACTGGGCTGTGGAAGAGACATACAGATCACCGTGTTACGGGACAGACAGACACTGACCCAGACAGATGCACTGTTGATTCATTTAGTAATTAACAAATTAATGCAGAAAGGAGAGAATATGCAATAAATGCTTTTCAAAAAAATTTAAGTTCGTTGAATTAATGACTTAAATGTAAAAATAGAAACCCTGGAAGGGTCCAAAAATATATAAGCAAATGTGTATATAATCTTGCCGTGAGTTAAGTCTTTTAAGCTCGTTAAAGACATAAGGAAAAGGACTTACATACACATTCAAAATTCTTTAAATCAGAAACATAAACAGAATAAAAGGCAAATGATTATTCTTTAATAAGAATTATAATACTTAGAAAAAGACTAACCCACTAAAATAGGCAAAGAGCTATTCACAGAATAAACACATGAGAAAATGTTCAACTTCATTATCAATAAAAGAAATGCAGTCCGGGCACAGTGGCTCACGCCTGTAATCCCAGCACTTTGGGAGGCTGAGGCAGGTGGATCACAAAATCAAGAGATCAAGACCATCCTGGCCAACATGGTGAAACCCTGTCTCTACTAAAAAATACAAAAATTAGCTGGGCGTGGTGGCATGAGCCTGTAGTCCCAGCTACTCGGGAGGCTGAGGCAGGAAAATTGCTTGAACCCAGGAGGCAAAGATTGCAGTGACCCAAGGTTGCACCACTGCACTCCAGCCTGGCGCCTGGTGACAGAGCAAGACTCTGTCTCAAAAAAAAAAAAAAAAAAAAAAGAAAGAAAGAAATGCGGGCCAGGAGCAGTGGCTTACACCCGTAATCCCAACACTCTGGGACACCAGCCCGACCAAAATGGTGAAACCCCGTCTCTACTAAAAATACAAAAATTAGCCAAGCATGGTGGTGTGCACCTGTAATCCCAGCTACTCAGGAAGCTGAGGCAGGAGAATCGCTTGAACTAGGAGGCAGAGGTTTGCAGTGAGCCAAGACCGTGCTACCTCACTCCAGCCTGGGCAACAGAGCAAGACTCCATCTCAAAACAAAGAAAGAAAGAGAGAGAGAGAGAAAGGAAGGAAGGAAGGAAGGAAGGAAGGCAGGCAGGCACATTTAAACTATTTCTAATAGGAAGAACTCTTAATAATAATGTATGCTAATGAAGTTTTTACTGGCTGGGGTAGAAACTGGTACAGTTTGGCAATATGTCTCAAAAGCCATTCGCTGAGCAATTCCACTTCCAGTAATGCATGTTTATAACTGATAATTTCCTTGGAAATCATTACGGATGATGCAAAAAGATTTTTCTTTAAGATTATTGCAAATCTTATTTATAATATTTTGTATTATAAGTAGGGATTGGTTAATAAATTATGGCATAACTATGGGTACCAGATAACCTTTGGAATTGATATTGCAGAAGGCTATTTCATCATATAAAGTAACTAATGATATGTTTTAAAGGGGAAAAGCATATTATAATACAATATACACATATTGATCCCATTTCAAATTGTGTGTATGTGCATGTTTGAATACACACAACCATGAATAGAAATAATCCGGCTGTTTTGCCAGTGCCCCAGCATGGCAGTTCTCAGTACGGAGTATATGGGACTGGATGCCCCTTTAGTTGGTGTTTGGAGCTCTGGGAAGGCAGGGTCTCCCATTCAGCTGATTGAAGGGAGGACTGAAGCAGGGAACCAGAATGGGAGATTCCCAGGCAGAAAAGTGCCACGAATCTCAATGCCCCCACAAAAAAAAACAGCATATGGAAGCACTGAAGATTGAGCATTTCACAGCAAGCACAGCTGAACTTGGGAAGGTCCAGCTCTGTGGGGGAGGGGCATCCACCAAAGGAAAACTAAGAAACAGAAAAAACTTCATCACCAACAAGCTGGATGTCCACTCAGAGACCCAATCTGAAAGTCAGCAATTACAAAGACGACGGGTGGGTAAATCCACAAAGATGGGAAGAAACCAGTGCAAAAAGGCTGAAAATACCTGAAATCAGAACGTCTCTCCTCCTACAGGGGATTGCAGCTCCTCATCAGCAACGGAACAAGGCCTGATGGAGAATGAATGTGATGAATTGACAGAATCAGGCTTCAGAAGGTGGATAATAAGAAACTTCTGTGAGCTAAAAGAACATGTTCTAACCCAATGCAAAGAAACTAAGAACCTTGAAAAAAGGTTTGACTAAATGCTAAAGAGAATAGACAATTTAGAGAGGAATATAAGTGAATTAATGGAGCTGAAACACACACTAGGAGAACTTCGCAAGGTATGCACAAGTTTTAACAGTCGAATTGATCAAGCAGAAGAAAGAATATCAGAGGTCGAAGACCAACTTATAAAATAAAACGAGAAGACAAGATTATAGAAAAAAAGATAAAAAGGAATGAGCAAAGTCTTCAAGAAATATGGGACTATGTGAAAAGACCTAATCTACGTTTGATAGGTGTACCTGAATGTGACGAAGAGAATGAATCCAAGCTGGAAAATATTCTTCAGGATATTATCCAGAAAAACTTTCCCAACCTAGCAAGGCAGGAAAATACTCAATTCCAAGTAATACAGAGAACACCACAAAGCACGTAATCATTAGATTCACCTTGTTGAAATGAAGGAGAAAATACTAACGGCAGCCAGAGAAAAACGTCAGGTTACCCACAAAGGGAAGCCTATCAGACTCACGGCAGATCTGTCAGCAGAAACCCTACAAGCCAGAAGAGTGGGGTCCAATATTCAACATCCTTAAAGAAAAGAACTTTCAACCCAGAATTTCATATCCAGCCAAACTAAGCTTCATAAGTGAAGGAAAAATAATTTTTTTTTGTGAAAAAGCAAGTACTCAGAGATTTCATCACCCCCAGGCCTGCTTTACAAGAGCTTCTGAAAGAAACACTACACATAGAAAGGAACAACCAGTATCAGCCATTCCAAAAATATACCAAAAGGTAAAGAGCATCAACATAATGAAGAATTTACATCAACTAATGGGCAAAACAGCCAGCTAGCATCAAATGGCAGTATTAAACTCATGTATACCAATATCAATCCCAAATTTAAATGGACTAAATGCCCCAATCAAAAGACACAGACAGGCAAATTGGATCAAAAGCCAAAACCCATCGGTGTGCTGCATCCAGACCCATCTCACATGCAAGGATACACAAAGACGCAAAACAAAGGGATGGAGGAAGATTTACCAACCAAATGGAGAGAGAAAAAAAAAGCAGGAGTTGCAATTTTCATCTCTGATAAAATAGACTTTAAAGCAACAAAGACCAAAAGAGACAAAGAAGGACATTACATAATGGCAAAAGGATCAATGCAACAAGAAGAGCTAACGATCCTAAATATATACGCACCGAATACAGGAGCACCCAGATACATAAGGCAAGTTCTTAATGACTTACACAGAGACTTACACTCCCACATAATAGTAGTGGAAGACTTTAACATCACATTGTCAATATCAGACAGAACAATGAGACAGAAAATTAACAAGGATATCCAGGACTTGAACTCAGACCTGAAATAAGTAAACTTAATAAACATTTACAGAACTCTTCACCCCAAATCCACAAAACATACATTTTTTCTCAGTATCACATCACACCTATTTTAAAAGTGACCACAAAATTGGAAGTAAATCACTCCTCAGTAATTGCATAGCATTTCACAGGTTTAAATGAAATATTGGTTGGCTGCTTGTTTGTTATTTTCCTCCCTTATTCCTTCCTGTCTCCATTGTTAAGCACATTTATTGGCATAAAAGAGGTTTTTAATTCCCATTTTTAGACTGCATCCTAGCCTGGGCAATAGAGCAAGATTCTCGTTCTCTCTCCCTTTCTCTTTCTTTCTCTCTTTTATTCTTTTTTTTCTTTCTCTTTTTCTTCCTTCTTTTCTTTCTTTTTCTTCCTTTCAAAAAAAAAATAATAATAATAATCCTGGAGGCCCAAGTGTGGTGGGCCTTTACAGCACTTTGGGAGACTGAGGTGGCAGATCACCCAAGGTCAGGAGTTCAAGACCAGCCTGGCCAACATGACGAAACTCCATCTCTACTAAAAATACAAAAATTAGTCAGGTGTGTTGGTGCATGCCTGTAATCTCAGCTACTTGGGAGGCTAAGGCAGAATAGCTGGAACCCAGGAGGCAGAGGTTGCAGTGAGCCAAGATCGTGCCACTGCCCTCCAGCCTGGGTGACAAAGCGAGACTCCGTCTAGAAAAAAAAAAAAAAAGAAAAATCCTGGAGAGAGATAATAACATATGTTGTCTCTGGGTGGTAGAATTATAGGTGATTTGAATTCTTTCTGCCTCATGCTTTTCATATTTTCTCCATTAAACATTTTCAAATCAGAAAAACATGTTATACTATTTTTTTAAAATTCAGTTTGCACCAACTGCAAAGGGAACTTCTCTTCTGTCAATCATTCTCATGGCCCAGCAGGAAGGCATAGCAGGATAAGGATCTTCCCCAGCAGTTAGGGTGGGAAAGCAAAAAGCCAGAATTTAGGGGAATGTGATTCCACACTCAGCAAACAGGGTCACCTACCGGAAGTCCTGGGATGAAAATCATTACGTAGTCCTGGGTCAACCTGCAAGAGAAGGAGAAGCTCTGGAGCTGACCAGGCTGTGGCCTGGGGAGGCAGGGCCCTGTCCCCTGTGCCCTCCAGGACTGGGTGCTTGGCTGCCGTCCCAGGGCATCCTGGGCCCCTAGGTTTGAGAATAGGCTTTACCAGGCCCTGCAGATCTCAGCCAGGACTGTGAAACCTCCATATCAGGGGCTACCGCTCTCAGACGCTAAGCAGGTGCCAGAAGGGGCAGCTGAAGCACCCAAATACCCAGGTCTCAGGACTAGGGAAGTTAAATTCAGAGTAACATGTGGTTTTGTAAGAAAAAAAGGTTATATCTTAAAAAGGAATAACCAAATGAAATGTACATAATATAAATGAACAAGGGCTCCCCACAAGAGGGCATCTCTGAATTTAATAATAAACTATGGGCCGGGCGCGGTGGCTCACGCCTGTAATCCCAGCACTTTGGGAGGTTGAGGTGGGTAGATCACGAGGTCAGGAGATGGAGACCATCCTGGCCAACATGGTGAAATCTCGTCTCTACTAAAAATACAAAAATTAGCCGGGTGTGGCGGTGTGTGCCTGTAGTCCCAGCTACTCAGAAGGCTGAGGCAGGAGAATCGCTTGAACTCGAGAGGCAAAGGTTGCAGTGAGCCAAGACTGCACCACTGCATTCCAGCCTGAGCCACAGAGTGAGACTCCGTCTCAAAAAATAATAAATACTACTACTACTAATACAACTATAATCCATCGAAAATTGGTTGTCATCTCTCTCCTTTTTGGAATATGGGAAAATGCACACACTGCATTTTTTCAAAAGTATCCATAAAGCTCCAACTGTGTGCAGGCACACAAATGCAAATAAAATGCAAATCCCAAATTGTTTCTTGCCTTGCCTCCTAAATTAAAACTGGGCGTTTGTCCGCCTCTGTCCCCTGCTGGCCGCTGCTGGAGCCGCAGCCATGGAAGAGAATCCCCAAACTGGAAGGTACCCACAGGCACCTTGCACTGTGACCACTCATGGCCTAGAGAAGTACGGGGCTTGGTGGGGGTGGGGGTGGCTTCTTTAGGGTTTCCCTCGGCGGTCCGGGTTTCCCAGGAGCCTCCATGTCTCTGGCAAGCCCTAACTCCCCAGCTGGAGCTCAGCGCACCTGGACACTTCTGGGTCCTGCCTGAAGAGCAGCAGGATGTGCTGGGTGTTGAGGAAGAGCGCCCAGCAGGGGAGGCAGCAGAGGAACAGGACCAGCGTGCCCCGCTGTAGGATCACGCCCACGTGCTTCTTGTTGGGGCTGCCAAAGCTCTGCAAAACAGCCTGCCCCGCATCAGCCTTTTCTGCTACCCCGGACATTCCGATGTCCCGCGCGGGGAGCAGGTGCCAGCAATGTGTGGCGGAGCCTGCGGCCTCTGCTACTGTGGCCTGGAACGGCACAGCGGCCTTCCTGAGCCGCATCCCACCACTGTCTCCACTGTTTTCCAAAACTCCAAGAAGGAAGAAGGCACGCGGGATTTCCTCGCATGTCACCGGCGGGTAAGTGGTAGCCAGGACCAAGCCCAGGTCCACCGTGAAGCTAGAACCCCAGGGAGTGGTGAGGCCTGGCTGATTTGTGACCCCATGGCTGCCTGGGCAGCCCCTGCTGGACTGCAGGCCCCTGTGAGCAGGGAGGTTCCTTCTGTGTCCCCTCGGCTCGTGCCTGCATGTAGGCAGCCAAACAAGGAGTGAGGAGGGGGCATCGGTTGTCTTTCTCTACTTGGTGACCTCCTTTGGGGGCAAGGGGTCAGGAAACTGCCTCTACCATCTCCACCCTTTTCTCCTGGCCAAGACTCGTTCAAAGGGGAGACAGCCTGTGGTCCTTGGCTGGGGAAGGAGCAGCTGCCCCCTGGGCCCCTCACTTCCAGATCACCTGGGTGGGCCCCTCCCACCTGCCATCTCCATGGCACCTGTGGGATTGGCTCGCCCTTGCCTGGCTTCCTGCCCAGCTCTGGGAGGCCACCCACCTGAGACATCAAGGTGTCACACGCTGAAGACAAACCAACTCCTACGGAAACTCCGCAGACATTGACAAACTGGCACCGCACACAGGAGAAAACAAGAGCTTGTCAGGAGAGGCCCCTGCATCTGGGATGAGCCTGCGTCAGGAAATGTCACCCAGCAGGCAGCGGTGGCGGAGGTGGCTCTGCTCAGCAGCCTCATGTGCTGTGTGCCTGAGGGCAGACTGCCTCCATCTCTGGCCTCAGGTCCCACCTATGAAGGTGGCTGTCCAGCCATGTGAGTTCGTCTTCCCATCCCTGAGCAGCCACCCAAGACGGGCCCACCCAGGAACCTGGCAGAGAAGCCTGGGGAGAGAACGTCCCTGCTCTGGGCCAGGCTGGGTACTCACGGCCACCGCGAGGGTCACTGACGCCAGCTCCACCTTGCCCAGGTGCCCACAGAACACAGTGCTCACTATGTAGTTCATAAAAGTCAGCATCTGGAACAGGAACTGGAGGACAGCAACCGGGTCAGACCCGGGCCACAGACGCCCCCACCCTCATGGCCCCGCCCTGCAAGACAGGCCTCTCCAGCTGTGACGGCCCCGCACCAGTGACCCAGGAGGTCAGCTACGACTGGAGGAGCCAGGGCTGGAGGTCAGGTGGCCTGAGCCCAGCTCCCATTCTGCCTTCTGCAGCTGAAGTCACCCCTGGCCTCCATGTCCCTACCCAGAAAGGCCAGTGCACGAGAGACACCCAGTGCAGTGCCGGGCACCAGGAGCTTGACCCAGTGTCTGATGCTGCTATTGCTGTTCCTAGTATAATAATTTGGTCAGGCCACACACCCCCAAAAACGAGGGGAATTCAATACACCAAAATCTTAGTAATGGCTACTTCCAAGCAGTTGGATTTCAGTTAAATTTCTTTCTTCTTTATAACTTTTCATTTCTTTCTGAAGGTTTTACAGGGGGTGAAAATCCATTACTATATATATATTTTTTTTTTGAGACGGAATTTTTGCTCTTGTCGCACAGGCTGGAGTGCAATGGCAAGATCTCGGCTCACTGCAACCTCCCAGTCCCTGGTTCAAGCCATTCTCCTGCCTCAGCCTCCAAAGTAACTGGGATTACAGGCATGTGCCACCACGCCTGGCTAATTTTTGTATTTTTAGTAGAGACAGGGTTTCACCTGTTCGAGACAGGGTCTCAAACTCCCGACCTCAGGTGATCCGCCCTCCTCGGCCTCCCGAAGTGCTGGGATTACAGGCGTGAGCCACCCCGCGAGGCCCATTACTCTTTACGGTCAGGGAAAACATGAAATGTGTGTAAAACAGTTTCCGCCTTGGACGTGAAATGGGTAGCTGGGCTCGCTTCCCCCGGGAAGGTGCTGCAGGGTAGCTGGGCTCGCTTCCCCCGGGAAGGTGCTGCAGGGTAGCTGGGCTCGCTTCCCCCGGGAAGGTGCTGTTTGTGCATCGCCGGGTCCCCTTCGTCCTGGAGTCATCTTCCAACTCAGGCGTTTGTGGGTTTCCAGCTGAGACACACCCACCCCTTCTGTATGGGGGCTGCCTGCTGCTGAGCAAAGTCAGGCCCCACTGCCACTGGGGATCGTCCAGGGACAGCCTCCAGGAGCCATCCTGCTGTCCCCAGGCTCTGCGCCTGGCAGTCAACACGGGCAGTTTCTGGGGAAAATGTGAGCACACTTCTGGGTCCTGCCTGCAAGGTGGACACCCTCAGCCTCTCCGCTTTCTCCACTCCCTGCCTGCCCCCTAGCCCAACCTCCTTACCAGGGGTCCGGAAAGAGCAAAGAGAGTCCACACCTCAGCCCCAAAGCCTCTGGGAACCAGCCTACTGAAGGCAGGGCAGCAGCCCCCATGGCTTGGGGACAGCGTGTCTTGGAGACTGTCCATTCCTGGCCAGGGCACTGGCCACCCTGCACGCCTGAGTGCCCGCACAGCCAGCTATGTCCACCGAGCCACCCCCTGCCGGGGCAGCCCGTGTCAGTACAGCCTGGCTAATGAGTAAGGGGGCAGGAGGAGGGGCTGCCGTGGTGACTTTCGGGATGAGCCCTGCCTTCCTGGGCACTGAGGTCCTGCTGTCCAGCCCGCTGCCCCAGCCACTGGGTAGGACACGATGGAGGCCTGGACTCCTGGGAGTCACCCAGACTGCTGCCTGTTGGTAACTTGTGTCTGATCTCCCAGAGGGGCTGGCAGTAAGGTCTCATTAGGAGAAGGTCCAGGGCTGCCTGTTGTGGCTGGGGGAGGTGTGCCGAGGCTGGGGCAGGGCAGCCTGGCCACGGCAGCTGAGCCACTGGGCACCCAGAGGTGATGGTGCCCACAATGCCTCCCCTTTTTCGGAGGAACTCTCGGCCTGCCCGAGGTCACAGAGCAGGTGGTGGCAGAACCTGAGCAGACCCCAACCCTGCCTTTCCTCAGGAGGAGCGGCTTCCCAAGAGTCGGGGGCCATTCAAAGCCCATGGCAGTGAGGTCCCTAGCTTTTCCTGCTGGAGGGACCTAGCTTTTCCTGCTGGAGAGGCCTGGGCCTGGGCCTGGAGATGGGAGCTAGGACACCTGGCAGAGTCCCAAGCCCTGCCACTGCCCGTCACCCCTTTCAGCAGCATCTCTGAGAGCCAGGGGTGGCTCTGTCACCCTCCCAAAGTGCCCTATCTGCTTTTCCTTGCAGGGATGGCCTGTGACTCCCCCTCAACCTTCCCCAGGACGGACAGGGCAGTGGGACCCAAGAGAGGCATGGAAGGATTGCACCAGTCACCTGGCCGAAGCCTGGATCAGGCTTGCGAGTGTGGGTTCAGCCCAGGAGAATGAACTGATGCCAGTTGCCGCGTCTGCCACGTCTTTAGTGGTTCTCTGATGGAAACAATAGACCCGAACTAGGATCATGGCAGCAGGTAAAGAAAGGGAGGAAGGGGGAGAGGGGTCATCGTTGCTTAGTGATCCAGAAGAGGGCTGAGCAGCTGGCCTTGAGAAGGGAGAATCACGCAGCCCTGAACTCTCAGGGTTATTCAGGGAAAGCTGACTCAGCCCCAACGCCTTTAGTCCCAGAGACAAATTCCTGGAAGACTGGGGTTAGCAAGAGCTAACCTGAACAAGAATGGCGGTGGAAAGGGTGGGATTCTATGAAAGTTGAAACATGCCTACACAGGCTGGGTGCGGCAGTTCACGCCTGTAATCCCAGCACTTTGGGAGGCCAAGGTGGGCAGATCTCAAGACCAGCCTGGCCAACATGACGAAACCCCATCTCTACGAAAAAATAAAAAAATTAGCTGGGCATGCTGCTATTCGGGAGGCTGAAGCAGGAGAATCGCTTGAACCCAGGAATCGGAGGTTGTAGTGAGCCAAGATTGAGCCACTGCACTCCAGCCTGGGAGACAAGGGCAAGACTCCATCTCCATTAAAAAAAAAGGTACCTACATATCCTGCCTCATTTATTTATTGCTGCACTACCCATGGCCCCAGAATTGGTGTCTTAAAACCATTACCATCTGTGTCGTGACTCTGTGGGGTGAGTTGGGTGGTCCTTCTGCCTCCCCTGGTCCAGCGTGTCTGCAGTCACCTGGGACCGGCCAGGGCTGGCCCGTCCTCCAGGCTCATGCCCAGGCGGCAGTGGGTGCCTGCACTCAACTGAGACCGTCACTTGAAGCATCTCCACCTGCCCTCACAGGACCTCTCCATGTACCATGGGCATCTCAGCACGGACGTGCGGCAGAAGACAGACATTCGATGGTGCAAGTGGAAGCTGCATACAGGTCAGGAGCCAGTCTGGGGAGTCCCCATACCCCTCTGCCTCATCCTGTTGACCACAGCTAATCATGGACTCACTCACATTTCACAGGAGAGGAAACAGCCTCCACTTCTAGGTGGCAGCGGCCGAGAGGCCATGCCTTCTTTAGCCAACACCCTCCTCTTCCTCCTCTTTATTCCTCCCTCTCTATTCTCTCCTCTCCTCTCTCCTGTGCCACCCGCTGTCCACACTTGGCCCCAAGCACAGGCGAGCAGATATAGCCCCCTGAGGTCAGTGGTGAGAGGACTTACGCTTACCCAGGAAGGAGGACCCAAAGCTACAAAATCCTGGGAATGGCAGGAGGCAGGGGAGGGAAAAGGAGTGGAGAGTCCTGGGAAGCCCCCAGCACACACCCTGGGACTGGGGAGGCTCCGAGCCGGCAAGGGGAAGCTTGACCCAGGGAGCACTGGCCCCCCAGCCCCATCAGCCTGGCTGAGGCACAGCCACATGGCATGTGGGAGTGCCAGGAAGTCCCCCTCACTTGAGGGCTCAGCTCCTACAGGCTCAGGGCCTGCTGGGGGCAAGGGCCAGGTCCTCGGGCCCTGCCTTCATGAGAGTAATTTCCTGGAGTTCATCCAAGTACAGTCTAGGTCCAGGGCCCCTGTGAACCTTTCCTCACTCCGTTCCACCTCACTAGGCCTGAAGGGGTTGCATTTGCTCTTTGGCTCCCAGAGATGTGTACACCCAGGCCAGGGACCAATGTCCTTTCCTCCAACCCTTCTCCACTGCCTCGTGACTGCAGAACACCCATTCCTCCCCTGTGAGGGTGGGGACTCTGGCTTGTTGATGGCTCAGCCCCACATTCAGGGCAAAGGACAGTTGCAGGGGAGCTAAGCTGTCCCTCTGCCTCATCTCCTCCCCGCACCGGACTGTGACCAATACTTGCTAAATCCCTGAGGCTCCCCTCCCCGACTCTTCCTCAATCGGCTCATAGATTTTGGCAGCTGCCTCTCTCTACCTCCACCTAGTAGTCCCTCCCTCCATCCATCCCTCACCCCTTCCTGTTTTCCTCTCTCCCTACTCTCATAAAGTCTCCCTGGCACCTTCCAGGCCCAGGTATTTCACCCCCAGAAATGACCAGGGCTCAGTCCCTGAGCTGACATCAGCACTCCCAGTCCTTCAGGTGAGGGGAGAGACAGAGCCAGCTGGCAAAGCCCTCAGCAGTGGCAGCAAGACTCCCAGAAGACACTGCCAAATGCTAGAAGATGGCGAGCCTTTCCATCTGGAGAAAAGTTACGAGAAATAAAAATAAATATACTCATCAATAAAAAGAAATGAGCTATCAAGCCACAAAAAGACATGGAGCCACCTCAAACGCATATTGCTTATCTAATTGGAAGAAGCCATTCTGAAAAGGCTGCACACTGTACAATTCCAACTCTTTGCCATTCTCCAAAAGGCAAACTATAGAAACAGTAAGATCAGTGTTTGCTGCGGAGGTTTGGGATGAATAGGCAAAGCTCAGAGGACTTTTAGGGCAGAGAAACTATTCTGTAGGATCCCGTAATGGTGGATACAGGACCATAGCATGTACAACACCGCTAGTGAACTCTAATGTAATGATGGACTTCAGTTCATAATACTGCATCAATATTGGTTAATCAGTGGTAACAAACACACCATTCTCATGCAAGATGTCAATAGGGGAAACTGGTGGGGAGGTGGGGGTGGAGATAGCGAGATCACCGCCAAGTCTGTTCTTTCTGTACAATTCTGTAAATCTAAAACTGCTGTAGAACAGAAAGTCTATTTTTGAAATGGTACACAAAATAATAACAACGGGCATTTCTTGAGGTCTCTACATGTTCCCCTCCTGCACGTGCATTTCATGTTGGTTTCAAAATGCAGCAGCAGCGCTTTTCGCAATTGCCAAAAAGTAGGGAGAGCCCAAATGTCCGTGCACCGATGAAAGGAACACCAAGATGTAGAATATCCAATCATGGAATATTATTCAGCCCTAAAAAGAACGAGGTATTGATCCACTAAAAACAGGGATGAACTTTGAAACCATGATGCTGGGTGAAGGAGGCCAATCACAAGAGGTCAGAAAGTGTGTGATTCCATTTCTATGAAATGTCCAGGATAGACAAATCCATCGAGTCAGAGAGGAGATGAGTGATTTCCAGAGGCTGGCAAGGAGCGGGAGCTGGGGGGAAAGACAGAGGGTGACAGCTAAGTGGATATGGGATTTCTTTGGGGGTCATAAAGATGTTCTAAAATTGATTGTATTGCTGGTTTCGCATCTCTGTGAATATACTAAAAGCCATTGAATTGTATACTTTACAAAGGTGCATATGGCATGTGACTTAACAAAGCTGTTTAAAGGTGTAAGGGGGAGGGATGCTGTAAGCTCTTTACATACCAAGGTTATTGATGTGTAGGGATGGTGAATAATTGCATGTGCAAATAGAGATTTCTACATTTTGGGAAAATGCATAAAAGAGCTAGAGGCTCACCTGCAAGGCGGCCAGGATGGCAGCAAGAGAGGTTGTCTGTTCAGCCTTGCATTTGTGAGGAACTGCCACCCCACGCCCTGGCAGATTTCCAGCAGGCATCTGAGAGCCTGAACATGTTGCTGAAAGAAGCCCCATCACTTCATCCAAGTGAGAGCCTGAGCGCTTTGGCAGCAGCCCTGTGTGACAGATTTGGGTTTAAACCAGCAGTTCCCACCTTGGCTGCACTTTTATAATCACTTAGGAAGCTTTCACCAAAACAAAATACTATCCAGGGTCCACCCCAGACATTCTGATCTGAAATTGGCCCGGACAGCTGGGTTTTTGCCTCATTTCTTTAACTTCTTATTGAAGTATATTATTTACACAGGAAAGTGTCTAAGTATACAGCTCCGTAGATTTTCATAAAATAAATACACTTGAGTAACCAGCACACAGGTCAAGAAACAGAATTTAACTGACTTCCAAGTCCCCTGGTTTCCCCTTCCAGTCACTCTCCCTTACCAAGGACAGCCACTGCCTTGTTTTTGGGCACCAGCGAATTCTTTGCTGAGGGATCTGTGGGGATTGCTCCCATGTGAGGCCCCTAGGAAATGGGCCTCACCATATGGTGAACTTGAGCCCAGACACAGATCCCCAGTTGGGGCAGTCGAGCTGAGGGAAAGCAGGAATCGAGAGAGGGACTATGTTCAAAATAATTAAAATACAAAATAATTAACATACAAAATAATTAACAGACATTACTTTATGGATATGAGGACTTGGGAGGCATTGTGTCCACTTTTGGTTCCTTATGGTTTATTGTCTCATTGTGTTCGTTTTGGACCCTTGTTACATTGGTTGTAAAATATTAACTTAAGTATATACTGGGTGTAACTTACCTTGACTCATTGGGCATAACCTACTTACTGGACTTAACCTACTTACTGGGTGTAACTTACTTACTGGGTGTAACTTACTTACTGGGCGTAACTTACTTAGTGGGCTTAACTTGCCCACCTTGTGACTTGACTTAAGTATTTTGATATGATGTAAACAACATTAAGCAGAAAACTATATAATGGAACCTATTGCAAAAATAAAATTGCTGCATGGGCATAGCGCATGTGGCCCTCCAGACCTCACTCTTTTTCTTTCTCCTTTTTTTCCGGCGCATGCTCTCTTCCAGGTTTGGGACCCTCTCGCTGGACGAGATTCCCGGGCTCGCGTTCAGTTCACAACACTTTGCCAGATATTCTTCTAAACTTCCCTCTCTGATGCGCAGCTGGCATTGAGAGCCACGGGTCTGGACACGTTCACCCTGGGCTGGGGAAGGGCCCAGCTTCTCAGCATGTTGCTGCTAAATTTGATCCCAGCTTGTGTCCTTGGCAAAGGTGGAGGGGTGCGGTGCCATTGTGCTCAGCGGTTACTTCTCAAATCAGCAGGTGCACGTTGTGACTCTGCTAGGACTACCTGATGTGGTGGGCTACTGAGCCTGCTACTGTTGGCTCTACCCCTATGTGTCCCTGAGGTTACCCTTCCAGGCACTGCCAGGGCTGTCAGAGCTCAGTGACT